CTAACCGCTGCTGCTCCTTCTTCTTCTTCTTCTTCTTCTTCTTCTTCTTTCTTGCTTCTCTTTTCTCTTTTCTAGCTGCCCTTCTTCTTCTTCCTTCTTCATTTTGAGCTTTTTCGGCATCGGTTGCCTCTAGCTGTGGGAGCGTGGAGTTGCTCGTTGTAGAGGTGCTAAGCTCACTGCTTTCGGTGTCATGCAACCCAATGTCCTCTAGATCGAGTTGATGGGCTTCAAAACACGGATCCTCCCTAGGCTGCATACCTCATGCGGTGAAGCACACATGAGGTAACCTTGCTCTGATACCACTTGTAGGATCTCTGGAATACCTAGAGAGGTGAATAGGCATGTAAAAATTCAACTTAAACCGAAGTCAAATTTACCCATGGCACTGTTGCTCCGTGAGCGTGGCACTGCCGCACCTGCAGGAGAGATAAGTTCACAGTTCAAAATCTACCCAACAAAATTTGGATCGGGTAAATTTCTTAGCTTCCTGTAGGGTAGTAGATCATAGATCGACAGCTGAAAATGGTGAGAACACCACACACAAGTAGATCGGCCTCAATCCGAGAAATCACCTCAACAACAACAAGAACACAAGTGTAGCAACACAAGTACAAGATGACATAAGGATTTATCCCATGGTTTAGCTCGCCACGAAGGCTTGCCTATGTCCATGTTGTTGATGTATACCACTAAGGCTTAGGGGTTTGCAACCCTATCTTGTTCTCAAGTCAAGAGAGTGAACTTTTGAGATGATGGACGATTTTACTCGCTGCAAGAAGTTGATACAAACCTCCCGAGGCTGCCACACAAGCTGGCAAGCTCCACGGGCGATGCTCTAGTCGGCTAGGAGCCAAGCTCCAAGAGTAACAAACACAACCGCTGGATAAAACGTGAACCAAGTGCTCTTGAGAGTTTGAAAATCAATGGAGCTGCTCTCAAATCAAGTTGGACCCTCTTTCCTCAAGAATTGATGGGAAATCAATGGATTTGCTTAGGGACTTGAGGACAACAATAGAGTGAGAGAAGGAGAGAGTTTCTACTCTATTTTGGGCGTGCTGAAGTGAGGAAGAAGAGAGCCCGTTGGTTACCGTTGAGAAGGAAAGGGAAAGGTATATATACCCCCAGCCCCCAACGGTCACTGCACCCAAGAGGTCGGGCGAGACGAGGCCGCGACCAAAGGGTCAGGCCGAGTTAGAGCCCGCGACCTTGAGGTCGGACGAGACGGAGCCCGTGACCAAAGGGTCGGCGAGCCGGAGCCCGCGACCTTGGGGTCGGGCGAGACGGAGCCCGCGATCAAAGGGTCGGGTGAGCCGGAGCCCGCGACCTTGGGGTCGGGCGAGACAGAGCCCGCGACCAAAGGGTCGGGCGAGTCGGAGCCCACGCTCAAGGGGTCGGGCGAGTCGGAGCTCGCACCCAAGGGGTCGGGCGAGTCGGAGCTCGCACCTCGCAAGACAGCAAGGGTAATAGTGGTGTAGACTGTCTTAGCTGTGAATCTGAGGATGCTTGTGGTTGTTTGAGCACTTGGTAGCACATATTAGCTTAAGCATTGTGCTCTCTTTATAGTACGGCTTTTCCTATACTCAAATTGAATATATAAAAGAATTTATACCTCCTTTGAGTTTGAAGCCATCTACATGTATAATTGGGGGCTCCTCCGTTTCGTGTAGCATCTTCGAATATAAATTCCCTACTTGTCATCTCGATAAATCTCATTAGTTCTCTAATTGCGTGGTCATTATCACCAAAACTCATAATTAGGGCTTAATTGCACTTTGAACTATAAGAGATATAGACAGATATATAGATGATTTAACTCATACATGCAACGGTTTTATTTTTAAGAGATTTCCGCAGCAAGGCGGGAGATATCTTCTAGTTTATACTACTACTACTACTCTGTTGTTCTAACTTCAACCAAATCCAACAACATTTATAAGATCAAACTAGTGTCATTAAAATCCATCATGAATTATGTGTAGTTAACTTAGTTGTAGCTATAAAAAGGTTTGACTTGGGATAAAATGAAGTAATAATTTTGGTATATTTGCAAACAAAATTCCAGTTGCTGGCCATTCTATTACGGGCCTCTGATAGCATCCTCACATTTGGGCCTACAATGTTTGTCTTGGGCTGAATTGGGATACTGCGAGCACTGTTTGAGGCGTCATCGGGCTTGCCCTTGCGCGGAAGCAGAGCGGGGGGATAAGCGAGGTAGGAGGGGGAAACCGAAGATGCTCCTGCTACGCGGCGCCAGGGCGTCGGCGTGGGCGGCATCCACCGCGGTGGCCGCAGGCGCCAGCGGCGGCAGGTCCATATCCAGTCGGCTGACCCCCGTCGCCGCATTGTCCTCGGGCGGAAGGAAGAGGAAGGGCCAGCGGCGGGGCGAGGCCAAGCCTCCGAGCCCGCCGCCGCCGCCGCAGCCCCTGCCTCGGCAGAGCAAGACCCCGAGCAGCAAGAAGAAGTCAGGCCCGAGGCCGTCGGGCGAGGCCAAGAAGAATCGCCCGGTGGAGCTGGAAGAAGCGCGCGGCCCGCGGAGGCCGGAGGGCGGCGAGGCGAGGAAGGGGAATACGCAGCAGCAGCAGCAGGAGAAGGCGAAGGTGAAGAGGCTGGTGCGGTGGAAGTGCGCGAGCGGGTGCGGCGCGTGTTGCAAGCTAGACAAGGGCCCCGACTTCCCCACTCCCGACGAGATCTTTGCCGACCATCAGGATGACCTCCAGGTAGCACCGTTCACAACCTGCAGCGTTTTGCAGTATCAGGGAACAAAGGGAGCGTTTCTTGATAAAAAAAAATGCGATATCGCGGTTAATTAGTAGAATTCGTTATTGTGCCTTAACCAACCAACTATGCTAATATGTTGATCATACGTGCAGCTGTACAGGAGTATGATCGGCTCTGATGGATGGTGCATCAACTACGACAAGGCCACCCGCACCTGTAACATCTACCAAGGTAGGTGCTTGTTAACGGCTTCATAATGCTGCTTGTACCACAAACTTTGTGTGATGCAAATTTCAGCGGATGCCATTCTGACCGATCTCTTGCGATTGTAGACCGACCTTCCTTCTGCAGGGTGGAACCAAAGGTTTTTGATGAGTTCTTTGGTGTGCCACGCAGCAGATTTGACCGGGAAGCTTGCAGGTCTGCTATTCTGCCCTGGTTTACGTATCTGCATGTCTTTCTTCAAGTTCAAAATGGTGATTCGGTTTATCTGGGAGTTTTGTCTTCAGTGCTTGTGTGGATAACATCAAGATGGTGTATGGTGATGACTCTGCTGAGCTCAGTAATTTCAAGCGTGTGATAAGGGAGGAAAGTAACAAGATGGAAAGCCAGAACCAAGATAAATTGTTGGATACATAGATCCTGGCATGGATCTGCAATAAAATCTACAGCACGTCACATTACATTTGTAGGTCAGATTTTGTCAGTTTCAATATTTTCTAGAGTCCCTTTGGTTGCCAGCTTCACCAATGATGGAATTTGGTTATCTTGTTAAATGACTGAATATCCTTTCCTGAGAAATGAACAGACAATAAAGTTTTATCATGTCTATTAACATGAGTTTTACTTTTACCCCAGTTATCCTTTTCCTTCTAGTAATAATTGGTAATTTATATGATCTGCTGGTTAGTCAATATTAGATCTTTAGTTTTCACATCTCCTGCACTGTGCTATTCCATTGTGGTATACATACATAACCATAATGTTTCACCTTGCATTTTTTTTTTCAATTTTTCCAGATGTTACCTATTAATTATTAGCAATTTTAGATTCATGGTTCCTTCAATTTGTGCAATTCATACCTGATATTAACTTTTTCATGCACAAATTAGTGCTCGTTACTACTGTTTCCAACAACCTCAGACTTCTGGGTTCAATACATAGTTGCATTTGCATGCCAATGTTCAGGGATTTGATACATAGTTGCATTTGCATGCCAATGTCATCTTCACACGCACTAGATAGAATTGTACGCAGTTTTTCAGTAACACTGGCACTGGAGACATGGTCATAGTGGAGAATTAGTTTTGATTTCTGTATTAAACAGTGTTGTTGACTTCTTGGTGATATTGCTGAAATAATGACACAAAACTGGGCTTATACATTGGCATACTGGAATGTGATCTTGGTAAATCTAATCATTAGGGATATCTAATTTGGATCGTAGTTAACTGAAGTATAACATTTTGGTTGGATACCATTATGCGTACCAAATATGGGACAATATGACCCAATTGTAAGACAGATAGCAATACATATTCCTACCAATTTCGGATGTTAGGAGTACTTCCAGGATGGTAACTACATGATTTCAAAACAAGGACTGACCATATATTAAGCACAGCGCATCAGATATAAAAATATCATCTTGAATGCCTTTTCAACAGTGTGCTGGTCAACGCGGGGGAGAGGGATTGATATACTAGCAATGCGATATCACCTAAAGCGCCGCGGAGCAATTTTTCCCTAAATGCATACAGTTTATAGAATAAAAAAATGTGTGAGATTTGTTTTTTGATAACAAAAAAAGGTGAGAATTGAAGATGGCCACTCGGAATACTACCCAACATAAACATAGTACACTGTACATAGGGCATAATTAAACTGGGACAGAGAGTGACATGACTACACTGTATATTCTAACATTTCTGCCTGCAGCTTGTACGAAGTATATTGTGCTAATCTTCAATTGGCGGTTGTGGATTTTTTTTTTTGTTCTACAGGAAATCCTCCATCCATCCAGCATGGTGTGTATATGAAAGAAGTCTCAATTTCGCCAATCATACCGTAATCTTTTGGACATATGTTGCCCAAGTCCTGAAATTTTGAGGTATTCCAGTGATATGCCACCGCTCTCCTCAAATCTGCATCCAGGAAGACAATCTCCTTGTAAGGATGAAACCCGAGAAAGAACATATATCGCCCTCTGTAGTGCCCATCAACCGTATCTTCAGTGCTGAGAACATTATCATCGTCGGAGCTCCATTCAAATTTGTCTTCCACTACCTCTTTATGCTTTCATTGCCATACGGATGATATTTGTAGTAGTTGATATCCTGTAACATCCAGGGTCCATTTTGTTGATCAATGTGGCCCTTAAGTGCACCCAACTTACGTGAAAAGGTCGTGAAATCGACACTATGCTTCAGTTCCCACTCTACTTGTTGGCCACATGATTCGTTGAGGAAGAAAATTCGAAGTCCATGCCAGTCATACTCAGATGCACAATACACGCCCTTCTCTGATCTTCCCAACGTCAGGTATCCATAAGACCTGAATTCAACGCGTGGTGGCGTTGGAATCAGCCTGTAATATGCATTTGAGATGGATATCCTGCAACATGGAAATTAAAGGGAGTCAGTGACCGAGGCGTCAGCACGGCGACGTGGATGCCGAGGCATGCCCAAGCCCCCCAAGGCAAGGACGAGAGCTCCTATCGACGTCAACCGCACTCCTTCACCTCAGATGATCTCGGCTGATAGACGCCTCAAGCGCTTCACCGGGCGAATCATAAGGGTGAGGCAGTCGCCACTCCTAGAGCTGCCTGTAGATGATACGGCCCTCGGCGGATATGCACCGCCATCGCTCCCCAAGCAAAGCAAAGAGCAAAGCAGATGGATAGCGGCACATAGCATAGCTTATATCCCGGCATCCGGTGAGTACCTTGTCATGAAGCGTCTGGGACTTTCTAGCGGGAAGCCGTCTTCGTCGACGTTGGCCAAGAAGGCGTAAGAAGAAATATTTAACGGTGACCTTGCCCATTATGCAAGTGTTGCATGAGTTGTTCCAAGTGGATGGCGAGGTAGGCGCGCGCAGGCGGTGCCATCGCTTGGCACACCAGGCATAGGCCTCCTTGCCAGCGGCGCAAATTTGGATTGATAATTGTCTAATGTAACAGCCTAACTTATAATATACCAAAGAGGGTCTCAGTGTCCATGTATAACTTTGTTGACCCTCTAGGGCGTTGCTAAGGCGTGTTGTATCAAACCTTTTCTTTACCTTAATACAAAGACGCACAAACATTTTGCGTAATTAAGAAAAAAGAGTCAGTCTATCTGTCACTCGCGTGTTTCGCCCCCAACCCCACATCTGATTTTTTTCTAGGCACTATTATTCTTCCTCCTCAAGCCGCCTGCCACCGTTCCTGCTCGTTGTTGCCCCCGCCGCTGACCACCGCCCCGCCACAGGCACTAGTTCGCCGGAGCTTCGACGAACCTTAGCGCCCGCGGCGGCCGCCTTCTTCCCCTGCCCCCTCCCCACTGCCGCCATCTTCTCTAACTCCAGTGAGCTCGGCCGCGACTCCCTTGTCCCGACTTGGACCTTCCGCCGCTACCACCGCCAGGGCCCCTAAACCGCCCAGCCTAATCCCCACTGTCTGCCCTGCCTGCCTCCCTCGGTCGGCCCCTTCTATACCCACCGGAGTTGGAGAAGAGGGGGATGGCCGAAGAGGATGAGGAGGAACCGCCTACCTCGCCGCCGCCGCCGCCGGCACAACCCGCCGCCGCAGGAGGAGGAGCGCGTGCGCGTCGGGCGCGTCGGGGAGGGCACGTGCACGTCGGGCCATCTCAGACGCTTGCTTCATGATCGAACGGCCCAAAAAAAAATCTGAGTGTGGACGGAAGCTAAAACACCCTATTGTGTTTTAGCCTTTTCGAATTAATTAACCAGCTAAGAATGCTTTTACAAGGAATAATAATACCTACGTACCCTCAGAAGAAAACCATTTTCGCAGAGAAGGTAGAGTGCTCCTCGCCAGTAGACTTTGCTTTCACCAATGGTCTCTGCCACACGGGCACTGCCTTCCGGAACAAACAACCTTGTGTCAGCAATGGCCTCTTCTATCACACGGCCTTCCGGAACAAACAACCTCTCCTCCCAGTGCATGGGCAGATCCATGTTCATGATTGTGCACCTACGAAAAAACTGAAAAACCGTGATTATGTTCAATTTTTCACCACATGTTCACCCATACGATAAATATCTGTACACCCACGAGGCTAGTGCATCCTTGACTTTGCTCTAGCTCCGCCGCTGTCCCAGCGCCCGGTCACTGATGAATATACAAATGCTTGCAGTGGGTACAATGTCTGATGCTGATCGCGGAGGGAATGCAACATGAACACCTCGTAATACGGTGACACGGTGGGATCGTACACGAGGCATTTGATTTGGCCTTGGTGAAAGGCCTTCTTCCTCCTCCTCCCCATCTGGGTTGGTCTTGGTCGCCGGGGCAGCCGTGCCCACCGCCGCGTCGCAGGGTTAGCGACGTAGTCATGGAAGTCCGAATCGCCCGTGCAGAGCAGGAGGCCGTTGCAGTGGTCCAAGACCTTAGAGAAGCCATCTGGGACGAAGTCCAGGTCGCCGGAGATGGAGGATCGTCCCGTCGTGGGGCGGGCCAAGAACTCCGGGGAGTAGAGCGCGTAGTAGTGCATGAAGATGCCGCCCACGGAGCGCGGGAGCAGGTCCGCGCGCAGCAGCCGGCGGGCGTCGACGAGGTCACGCCACCCACGGCAGACGCACCGGGAGACGGCCAGACTGCACGGCGGGAGGCGGCGCAGGATGTCGGCGGTCAGGTCGTCCGGCAGTTCCCGTCCGAATGCCATCTCCTCACCAGTCATCACCTTCCTGGATTCCTGCTCGACGGTAGGTCGTTGTCTAGTCGAATCGAATATATCAATCTACGACGAAAATTTCAAATCGAAACCTGCACGGCCACACGATATATATGGACAAAACTTGCAGAGTGAGATTTGGAGACGGAGTCGAATCGTATTGGCTCCAGAGATTTCAACGGGTGGAGCTTGGACGCGATCAGGATTCAGGAGATTGCTAAGAAAAAAAGAAATCATCTTTGTTTTTGTGCTCTTTCTTTTAGATGGTTGTTTCTATGTTTTTACTGAAAAAAAAAACAGGATTAGCAGAATGTATGGCGTTGTTTTGGAGAAGGATAATGCTCATCATTCATGGTGAAAAAAAATGCTCCTCTGTCCATCTCGACATTGACGAGAAAATCCTAAAACTCCTCCACAATCAGCAACTAACCAACTCAACTCAGCAAGAGGCCCTTTCACCCTTCATTTCTAGAACATATGAGTAGAGGTGGAACATGAGCCGTGCCTAGGCCTGACCAGATGTGAACTCGTGTGGGTCTGGCATGGCACAATCGAGAAGGTTTTCAACAAGCTGGTTGAACTTTTCACAGCAAAGGAACTAAGAGCTAAGTATTTTTGTGAAAAAAACTCGTACCTGGAACAATATCTGGACTAGAGGTTCGTCCCTGGGACTTAGAGAAAATGAAATAGTCAAAGATGAGCATATGTTGCAGACCATATCTATGTCCTAAACAGCACATCAAAGAGAGTGAAATACAGGAGAAAATTTACAAGAGGCAAAATCATCCATCTGCTGTGCACAAGAATTTACAAGATGTGAATATTTACAGCAATTCTTTGAATGAATTGTTACCTACTGAGCGAATGCCAGCCACTCATGTGGCTTTGAGCAACCTTTGGATCTCTTCTAGTGTTCTTCCTTTAGTTTCTGGTACTAGCTTTGCCACGAACAGCACAGTGACCAAGCTCGCTGCAGAGAACAGAAAGAATGTACCTGCATACAGAAGAAGATAGCTTCGAATCAGATACTTCTTGACGCTAAATTATCAGCTATACTAATAAGATTTCCTTTCGAAACGTCTGTTATTAGTTAACTCGTCCTTGAACAGCCAATAACTGTCCTATTTCTCGCCTCACTCCCCAATTCTAACAATGGTAAAGAACTTTACCTGCGGGGTTCCAATCCATGAGGAAGTTGAATGAGTATGATATCGCAAAGGAACCGATCCAGCTGGCAAGGGTTACGAACCCTCCAGCTATTGCTTTCATGTCGATCGAGAATATCTGTGGCAGTAGGTCAGGAGATATCATGGCAGTAGGTCAGGAGATATCATGAGCCCCCTTTTACAGACCCCTAAACAAATGATCATCATTAAAGTAACTTCACAGGATACTTTCTTACCTCGGACATGATAACCCAAGGAACCGGGCCCATTCCAACTGAGTACGCCGCATAGTATACCTGTTTTAGGAAGCAGGATTACAATGTAATAAAATCTCCAAAAGTTCAGTGGTGTCATTGTCAGAAAGAATCCATTTCAAAATGTATTGGGTTGATCTCAATCAGCTTTCAAGAGACTAATAACAAATTTAGCTTATAGTCATGGAATATGTAAACAAATTTACATTTAAAATTACACGATTGTAGGAATTTCGATTATTGCAATTTCTATACCAGTATGCCACAAAGAGCCAAAGTAGGGACCAGCTGTGTGCACAATCCTTGTGCCTGTAAAATCATGGAACAGAGAGAAAAACAAAAGAGGAACAGTAAATACTCATTTTACTACATTATTTTCAGAAAGAGATACATTGATATGCCATAGAATTCAACAAAAAAGTATATACTTCAGATTTTTGAATCATTTGGTTATGTTGATTCGGTCAGTTTCATTTTATTGATGTTTCCAGACTTCCATCCGGTTATTCAGTGGAACCTCACACGTGTTAGAGTGTCCTTGTACCATTTATCTCATCATCATCAGATATAAGATGCATAAAATCTGATGTTCCAGTTGGATTTCGGAAAAAAAAAAGTTTTCTAATCCCCGAGGAAACCACTTCCTGGGAATTCCTCCTTTATTAACAGGGCTTCAGCAATTCGAAGTGTCCAATGTTCACAACTGCAGCTACTTTGTAGTTTGCGAGCAGACACTAGTACTCTCAGATAACTAAAATTGACAAAAGGAATCAAAATCAATTCAGTCGAATGAAACAATAGGCAGAGCCAAACTAGATCATGTTTTAAAAGTTCAGTTGTTAATCATATTTTTTCATAAATATTTATACCATTTGATTGTTAAGCTCAGACATTAAACTATACTGTAAATTCACGAGCTAAAATGCTCATATTACCTTAAAATAGAATGATAGTCCAGTCAGAAAGCAGCCAAGAAATGTTCCAGATGAAGAGACCTGAAAACCAAAGACACATAGAACACTGCTTTTCTTTTCTGTACATCAACTCAGATTTAGAGTGTTCATACCAAAAGAAGGGCTCTTCTTCCACTCCTATCCATCAGAAGGGCCCCAAAGAATGTGATTGGAATCTGAAAAAAAAAACAATTATAGAAAAATCTTATGACCAGTAGCTTTTATTGAAAAAATGGCTAAACCTGAACCTGAATAATGCCAATCAAGGTGGTCCCAAGTTTTCCAGAAAACCCTGAAGTTTTTAGAAATAGCTGTAGATACCTCATTTTTTAAGAGGACAAAAATTATCTAGCTTGGATACCTGCAGAGGAAAAAATATAGCTTGTATAGAAACCTAAGGCATTTATTCCTCCCAGTTGCTGAAAAATCATCAGGCCAACACCCACCTGAATATCAAAGTCACAGAATTAGTGAACTTCTTTCATACTTTTTCAGAAAACAATAACTGGCAGACTGGCACCATTAATTTCTGGATTTTTGTTATCTTACAAGAAAACAATAAGGTATTTCTAAGAAAATAAATTAAGTGAATAAAATTCTTACTGTGACTGCATACATATTTTTGCTCTGAAATAAATCTTGAATCCTGGCCTTAGGCAATCGACGAATTGATTCTATATAATCCTGGATAGAATGTTTAGTTTGAATATCTTATGATCTACATTGTTTGATAAATGGAAGTTATGCTTGGAATAAATAACCTTGATCTCAGTAGCCTCTTCAGAAATGTCAGAATCTTCCCCCCTAAACTCCTGTAATGAAGCATGGAATTCTCTCTCTTTCCCTATGTTGGCCTGTCATATTATCAAACTGAGTTTTACAAGGAAGTGTACAATTAGAAGTTACAATTTTAGTCAAGGTTTTCTGTGCACAAAAAAGGTTATATTTCATATTTTCATCACTATTATCTTGATATAGATAACCATGTGTGGAAATCAGAAATAAGTCATGAATGTAACATAATGTTGTTGTTGTAAGGTAAAATCAAGGAGTGCAGAATGTGTAATTCATGTATCCTATGAAACAAAACGGTTTAGAATAATCATCCGTCACAACAATATATGAAATTATTTTCCTATAACAACAAATCAAATGGAAAAAATATTTCCTCTAACAATATATGAAAAATGATGGGCAGCAGAAAATGGTGTTACTTTCCTATAACAATATATGAAATTATTAAAAAAAATACTTCACAACACAACCATGCTACACGCAGAGTCAGTTACTATCTCACCAGCCACCTTGGAGACTCTGGAATGAAGAAAAGCCCCACAAGTAGGACAGCACAAGGTACTAATCCTGCATGAAATGCTAAATTAGTTTCTCTTGATGCTCGATTTGTCAACATACATGTAAATATATTAGTGATTACCTACTAGAACCAAAGAGCGCCATGAAACAAGTGCTCCAATAATGTAAGCAGCTGAACACCCTGAACAGATGAATAACTGCATATTCAAAAGAGCCCATATTAATTATTAAGAATTCACTACATAAAAATAATAAGAGGCACTTCAGCTCCAATGCTCCAATTTGTCTGACCTGGTTTGAGGTTGCAAGGCCTCCTCGGATACCCTTTGGTGCTATTTCAGATATAAACACAGGCACCTGTGTTATTATAACCCCAGGAATTGTTAGTGCATAGAGTGTGGTGTTGATAAATAGAACTTTTTTTAAGAATGTTTGAGGGTGGGACATGTTTCCATTTCTTAAACAAAAGGTTTAGAAACATAAGAATGAAGATTTTAGGTACATATTAAGAACTATAGATGTTCACCACATAGGAAAGAACTCCAGTACAATATCCCAGCAAAACTCTTCCAGCATAGAGCACCATAGCATCCTTCATGTCATTAGAGGAAGGACAGTATTACAGCTACAAAATGGCAGTCGGCAGATGAAGCAAGAAAATAGGCTGATGGAGGAGCATACCTTGGCAAAATATACAGTAAGCCAGCCAAAAATGCCTACAACTGCTGCAAATCGCATGGTCTGTGATAAATGCAAATGGAAGAAATGTCGTGAAGATGAATAAGGGTAACCATTTTACTTATCAATTGCTGCAGTTGAATTACTTAACCATTTTGCGTCCAAGAATGTCTGCCAGGCGGCCGCTAGTCACAGCACCAAGCATTGCTCCAATTGTCAAGACAGATCCAAAGACACCATACTACAAGGACATGAATCAAAATGATTTCTTGTCGAAACCAACAGGGGCCCTCTGTACAACATTACATTTTGTAAACGAAGAATTGAATTTCGAGAGAGAAAAAAAAAAGATCTAAGGGTGAAATCAGTAGCTTGGTTACATTTTTTTTTTTTGCGAATGAGCTTGGTTACATTTTAGATCATAGTATCTAGTTATCTACTTGACCAACTAAACTTTTGTGAAACAGTCACAGTTAATTAATATTCTGCTTTGATCAAATAAAATGATTTTTGCTGCTCTGCATCTAGCCTGCTACCACCTACCATTAGTTGGCGCCAAAGTTCATTTGATCCACAGCCAAAAGAGATAAGATAATTAGTACCCATGCACTAGAAGAATAATTTGTATATGTATATACTCCAATGTCAAGTGCCAACCAACCTCGGAGTTGGACAACCCAATGTCGCTCACAATTCCAGCTTGAGCCGGCGCAGAATACCCCACCTGCATACCAGTGCTCTATATTTGAATCGAATCAAGAGCATGCTTCCCCAGGATTTTCTTTAAGACCGAAGGATTTTTTTTCTAGATTTTTATAAAGAAAATGAAGTATTATACTTATAAAAACATAGTCCTCACACAGGTGCCGAACTCGAAGGAGCCGCACACGACCACCGCGGTGGCGAGGAAGACCATCCACAGCGACCCTTGCCCCTCGCTTCCCCTGTACGGCGCCTTCCAAGCCGCCGCCCCTGGCCCCGAGGCCGCAATGGCTCCGCACGCGCCATTGGCTCCCGGAGGCACTGCTGCCGGCAGGCACCGCGCGACCAGCAGCGGCAGCTGCTGCGCGCCGCGGCCGTCGTGCCGTGTGGCAGTCGGCCGCTGCCAACGCCTGCGGTGGCGGAAAGAGACGGAAGGGGCGGCGTTGCAGTGGAGCAGCAGCGGCGATGCTGCGCCGGATGAAGGGAGCGTTGCAGCCATACCTGGCGGAACAGAGAGGGTGTGAGGAGTAGCTACACCTCGTTGTCAGGTGTCCTCTCTTAGAAATTTAGGTGCCTATTTTTCTTTTATAATAAAAAAACATCTAGGTGTAAATTCGCAATCAACCAGATTTTTTCCCTCCCGACGTGGCTGGGTGCTCCGGCCATTCACACGCGCTGTTCGTTAGCCTTATAGCCGTATTTTTTTATTCAACAAATAGTATTTTTCTCTCACAACAAATCAGCCAATAGTACTTTCAACTATGACTTACCAGCCAAGCGAACAGGGCAATGGATGGTGGTTGGCCAGCACCCAGCACCAAATACGAGGACGCGACCCTTCCAACTCCTTCTCCTCTCGTCTCCCCTTGCTACAAGTTTAGAAGGACACGCGGGGGATTCCCTCCCGACGTCGATCTCGTCGGCTTCTCGCGTCCGGCGACCGTTCCAGTGCGAAAGTGGAGAGGAGCCGCGGGATCGATGACCGGTGTACGTATCCTTAGCCTTGTTAGCTAATTTAGGTTAAGGTTCTTCGTTTCGTTGACGGCGGCGCGAAGATTAGTAGGTCCAGGTGGTGCTCGCAGGGTGGAGGCGGCACTACATCCATGGAATAAGGTTCTCTAGCTCCTTCTCCGCCTTGCTGGTGCGTGCTCCGGTGCCAGAGAAGAGCTGCAGAGGTATGAGCTCGTCGGATCTGGGACCTGGCTGCTCCAGATCTCATCGGTTTCTCTTCTTTCCCTCGTCTCTTGGCTTCCCCGACGAGAGCCTTGGGAGGTATGTCTACTAACATGCCGAGAAATCAGGTTGGCTTTTGTTTCCCACCTGTTCCGGTGGTTTAGTTCCCCTTTGGATTGTGTTGTCGTCCGGTGAGCCGGGGTTGCTGGCGGTTCTTGAGGCACCAGATTCCTTGTCTCCCGGCGATGCGATGGCCGGTGGCCATCTTGTTCAACCAGGGCATTCAGCGACTATAGAGCATGTCAATGTGTTTAGTGTGCTGCTCTTGGTCGGGGTGGAGGTCGGCTTCAAGTTGCAAGTGCGGTGTGTCTCTCCATCTTTTGGTGCGACGGGAGCACGTCTTGTGGCTGCTCCGACCGCCGGCGGCGAAAATGACTAAGAGGATCTTGCAAGAACTAAGTTGTATTTTTCTTTCCTTCAAGGGTGTTTTTGTAAGAGCTGGAATGTAAACATTAAGATTTATATGTGAAATATAAATCAGGTTTCTCAAAAAAAAAAGCTAGGTTAGGTCTCGTTTTTTTACAGAGAGGGTGTGTGTGATGGCGACGTATGTTAAACATAGTCCGGGTGCTGTCGTGAGCTATATAATGCCTATCCCTGCAAAAAAAATGCTCAGGCCCATTAGTGTTATAGGTCAGCTAGTGTGGTCCGCGTGTTCTGTTTCGATGGAATTAGTTTCATCTTAATTATTTAAATAGGTTTGAGTCAGCTCATTTTTGGGCTCTCTAAATATAGTACCTCTATATTAACATTTTCAAGGTGTATTCATTTGGTTGGTTTTTCTAAATATATTAACCTTTTTGTTGTGAGAGAAAAAAAATGAGAATAAAAGTATAGAAAATGAGAATAAAAGTATAGAAAATATACTACGCATATCATTTCACGTGGTACTGGGCCATAAATATATTTCAGAAAACTGATGGCTGTGAAACATCTGCCACTCCTGGTCTCCTTCCATCGCGGATTGCTCGGAAAACTGATGGCCGTAGTGCTTTACGTGTAATTTGCAGAGTAGTTGATTGGTAATCTTGGGGTTACCATTCAGTAGTCTTGGCCTTGGAAATTTTGTATTGTTTGTTTCTCTACCCTCTCTTAATAAAATATGTGTCGGTCAGGAAAAAAAAAACTGATGGTCGTGGCTCCTCCTTCCATCACGACAATCTGCCACTCCTCTTTCCATCATGCAGTGAATAAAATTAAGGACCGGTTGGGTTTTTTAACCTGTTTTTGTTTTTTATAAAAGCCAAAAATTAATTTAAAGGGATTAAAAGCTACAACTGTTTTTTTTTTTTGATAAAAGCAGCTTTTGCTCTAGGATAAAACTGAAAGCACCTCTTCTTCTGCTTTCAGCTGCTTTCGAGCAGAAAATTAGCTAGCTGGCACAGGTTATGGGTTATGAAAGGTAACGGTTCGTTCGTTCCTTTCTTCCCCCTCTGCGACATCTTCCCGTCGCGAGCGCCTCCCGTCTAGCGTCTAGGCGGCGCCGCTCCTCCCTCTCCGGGCGGTGGCGGCGATCCGGCAACCCCACGGCCCCTCCCGCGCTCGGCTCCGGCGACCCCGCGTCCCCTCCCTCTCCGGCTACCCCGCCGAGCAGCAGGCACGGCTCCGACCCCTGCCCGGTGGCGGGCACGGCCAAGCACCGTCGCGGGTGTGCTCTGCCTCCTCCTCGGAGCGCCGTCACGGGCGAGCTCCGTCGCCGCGGGCGCGAGCTGGTCCTCCACCACCGGCGCGCGCGGACGCGAGTGCAGCTGGTCCTCCACCCCCGGCGAGCTCCGCGAGGGAGCTGGTCCTCCACCACCGGCGTGCGCGGACGCGAGTGCAGCGGCGTCGCCATGCCCGGTGCCCCCAACCGCTCGCGAGGAAACTACTGCGGACGCATCTGCACTCATGACCCAGGTCCCGTTTCTCTGCACGCATGCCCGCAACGCTTCGGTGAGTCCCGTTTCTCTGCGTCAGCGCTGGTGATCTCGTGACCGCTCGCAGCATGTTTGACGAAATGCCAACGAGGGACACGAGCTTCGAACTGCATCGCCCGAAGGCCGGAGCAGCAGCAAGCGACGTACGCGCTGGAGTGCTGGATGTGATGCTTGGCCATCTCCAACTCACGTGCGTGTGAGAGATAACAGGGGACTATGCATAATTTGAACATCTCATGGTAATTGTGAGGCAATATAGCAGTAATGATTTGGTTTGGTTTTGCAGTGTTTGGCCCCATTCGCTTCGCTGAAAAAACAAGAAAAAACACTCTTCCTGCTGATTTGTTGGGAGAAAAAAACACTGTTCCGGCTAAAAAAACAAACTGAAAAAGACGGATTATAAGAAAAGCGAAGAGAGCCTTTTTCATTTAAAATAGTTGTTTTGGTTCTATAGTGGTTTTGATTTATACTCGCTGGAGTGCTGGATGTGATGCTTGGCCATCTCCAACTCACGGCCGGAGCAGCAGTATTTGTTTTATTTATGTGGTATTTCCTTTCTAAATTAGTCATTTACATATGAATCAGTGAACAAAATAGTTTTTAAGGAGCAATTTGCATATAAACAATCCTTAGGCCCTCAGGAGCATTACATGTATTTCTTACAGAAGCTATAGTTTCACAGCTGCTCTAACCAAACGGCCTTTAGCTTTTCCCACAACTATTTTTTCCACTGGCCACAACTCACAGTAGCTTTTTCAAAAGCTACAGCTCAACTAAACAGGGCCTAGACTACAATTGTTGCTTTATGGATAATTTCGAATTTTAACAGGACAATGATATTAAGTTGCCACCTTTCAAAAAATGATATGAAGTTGCCATGGTAACACAACTATAAAAACAAAATTATATATGCTGATCATGGTTATAAAAAAAGTATTATTTGTTGTTCAATAAAATTTTGCCGTGGGCCAAATTTGATTTTCAACAGGACAACGATATGTAGCTGCCATGGTAATACAACACCACCTTATAAAACCACAGTCGTATCTGCTGATCATGAATATAAAAATGCATTGCTGATTGATCTGGAGGGACATATGATACATAAATGTTGATCATGAATATAAAAATGTACTGCTGATTAATCTAGAGGGACATGGTACACAATGTCGGTTCAGCTGCTGCTCAAGCTCAAACAATCTGGAGGGACATGGTACATAATACTACATAATCTCAATCTGCATTCCTTAACCTACACAGAGTACACTACATATTACACTTACACGGAGGTGGGCAGGAGAGAAGGGGAGGGGAAGCGTGAGGAGGTGAAAATTGTATTGTTTCTTGTTCGGGGCTCTTGCGTTTTTACCTCTGTTTTGTATCGAAATTGTGATTTTACCCCTATTTTTTTTACTTTGTGAATTTACCCCTGTGATTTTAAATCGAGGCACTACTTTGCCCTTATTCCGTCATCCTCCCCTAACGGTGTTAAATTTTGTACAAAATGACAGAAATGCTCTTGTGATTTTGCCCCTGTTTGTTGTGCCTATTTGTGATTTTACCCTTGATTTTGGAATTAGACATTAATATTTGCTCAAATATATTTGCCACGACTTGCAATTATTTCAATTCAGATTTAATGTCCAAAAAATATTCAAAATTTTGGCAGCACCTTGGTAATATTTTGATAGCATTATGACAACAATATGAAGCACATATAAAACACATGACAACAGTCATGGAGAAACATGTCCATATCACATTTCAAAGTCTCCCATACACCATGTGAATATTTCCACAAAAGCTAAAAAAAAAAGTGCACTTACTTTGGCAAAAAACAGCAGTAAATAAGGGTTAGGGTTTGCTGAAACCACCTTTGCTCTTCCATGTCAATTTGAGAGATCCCGTGCGCTAAGACGTCCTGAGCGACAAGCACTGAGCAGGATTGCAGCCACGCGGCTCTCTGAGCACCTTCGCGCCCCTCCCGTGCCCATAAGAACAGAGGCGGGCGCCCCTGAGCCTTTGCTCGGAAGGGAAGAACGGCGGGCGGGCGCTGCCAGGACCCGCGCCCAGGTGCCGGAGGAGACCCGCGGTCGGGCATCGCCGCTGCCCAGCCAGAACAACCAAAGCAGCGCCCCGCCCAGCGCCAAATCGCCGCCAAGACCGCACACGAACCAGAGCCGCTCGCACTTCCCCACGCGCGTCGCCCAGCGCCCATAACAACCGCCTCACCGCGTGCCCTAGGCCAGATGGAGCCACCCGTTCCCGATGCCGCCCGCTACCGATGAGAGCTGTTATGGATGAGGAAGAGTCAAGGGCAGTGTGGTCATTTCTACTATCCTTTTCTGCTTTGGAATTCTTTTAATTCATTTATTCCCTGTCCATTTGACAGACATCCAAAGCAGGGGCAAACGGACAGTTCATTTCAAAATAACAGGGGTAAAAACACAAAGTTAAAAAAAAACCAGGGCAAAATCACAATTGGAGTTTTGGACAAGGGTAAGAACACAATTTTCCCTTCTTCTATATATCTCCATCAATGAGCACACGGTGAAGGTGGGAAAGGTAAACCTGTATATCATTTTCCATCTTGGAATTATTCTGTTGTGTCCTGTAAATTCCCATTTTCCATCTTGGAATTCTTCTGTAGTGTGCAGTAAATTCATTACTATCTTCTGGTGTTTAGAGAGTCTTGGATCTCCTCTAGTGTCCTTCCTTTGGTTTCAGGCACCAGCTTCACCACGAAGAGTACAGTGACTAAGCTGGCTGCAGAGAACATGAAGAAGGTACCTGTACACAATAAGCAATGGAACAAATGTAAGCAGGAAGGGTACATTACTACATTACAATTCCATGCCTTTTCTGTTAAAACTGAGAGTTTACTTTTGACTAAGCAAATTTCATAAAGACATTGTTTTTTACTAAAGAGGAAAAACTAGAAGTCTAAAATTGCAGGTGAGCACCAATACTCCAGGTGCATTACCTGCAGAGCTCCAGTCCATAAGGAAGCTAAACGAGTAAGAAATCGCGAAGGAGCCCAACCAGCTAACAAGGGTCACCAAGCTTCCACCAATTGCTTTCATGTTAATTGAGAATATCTGCAGGCAGTCAATTTGAGCAATGGTAAATCTCCAGCAAACTTTAATATTTGTCCATCTGTCATAAATGCATCCAGAACAAATACAATTCGGTTTCCATTTTACCTCAGACATGACAACCCAAGGGACAGGACCCATTCCAATCGAGAATGCCCCGATGTAAACCTTCACAAAATAGCATCATAGGACAATTTCAGACTACAAGAAATAAAATGCATAATGCATAACTTGTGTATACAGGAATATAGATCTTGACAGTTTGCCATGGTACTAGGTATAATGATTTTCAAGAGGCATAACATATAGCTTATGGTCCTTGGAAGTTTTCAGACTGTAACTAAAAAGCAAAAGCACAGTGACATTGTATCTCTTACCAGTATGCCAGAAAGAGCCAATGTGGGAACCCATTCTGGGAAAAGTCCTTGTGCCTAACAGATGATGAAGCATTCACCATTATATATAGAAACATAGATAAACGTCCTATATGCCATGTCAATCCTATTTAGAATAAGCTGAAATTTTTACCAGCTGGTGCCAAGTGATTTCCATCATGCTAATTTATGATGCTATCATTTATTATGTCAGTTTCAAGAGTAATTTTCCATACCAGGTTAGAAAAATTATAGTTACCTTTAGATAGAATGATACTCCAGTGAGGAAGCAGCCCAAAAATGTTCCAGATGCAGAGACCTATAGGATAAAAGGATCTCACAAAACATTCTACCTAGCAATCTTTCTTTGTGTACATCAGCTCAGCTTTGTATTGTTTATACCATCAGGAGAACCCTTCTTCCACTCCTATCCATGAGGATGGCCCCAAACAATGTAATTGGAATCTGAAATGATCATGGTTATAAACAAAAGTGTTCTAATTAGTAACTTTTACCAGCTGAAAGCAGCTTATCTCAAACCTGAATAATGCCAATCAAGATGGTTCCAAGTTTTCCAGAAAACCCTGAAGTTATGATAAAAGCAACATATTCATAAAGGACTGTTACAAAAGGACAACACAATATTAGAGAGACATTTGCATACCGGCAGAACTGAAGATATAGCTTGCATAGAATCCAACACCATTTATCCCTCCGAGTTGCTGAAAAACCATCAAGCCAACACCCACCTGTGCATATAAGATCAGCAGTTATATGCCTGGCAAATATTTCTCAAAAGTTCCATATGGTCAAATTTCAAATTCAATGAACAAAAGAGATGCATATTCTAAAGGTATGTAGTTAAATAAATGATTCCTTACAATGACAGCATATATATTTTTGCTTAGAAATAAGTCTTGAAGCCTGGCCTCTGGAAAGCCACGGAGTGATTCAATGTACTCCTGAAACAATGAGCTGTCTAAGCATAGTACATTATAAATTCCAGTATGTATAGCCTGTTAAGATAGAAACCAACTTTAATCTCAATTGCCTCTTCTGATACATCAGCATCCTCTCCACGCAGCTTTTGCAATGAAGTGTGGAATTCCTTTTCCCTTCCAACATTTGCCTGTAGTTTAAATGCATTGTAAAGCTCACAGCAAAAGATTCATCACAACATAGATGAACCAAAAATTTTTAGTTTAGTTGACAAGAATCATTAGGTGATTGATGAATTTACTTTGTATGTCCTACTGACACTACCATTGTTTGAAGCAGTGAAAAAGCTGGGTTATTTTTCTACCATAAACACATCCAAAAAGTCACATTTCATAGAACATTCAGCTATGGCAGAAGTGCCTTACCAGCCATCTGGGCGACTCTGGAATGAAGAAAAGCCCGGCTAGCAGGAGGACACAAGGCAATAAACCTGGACCGAAACTTTCACTCATTTCCATCCACCATGAATTCAAAAAATAATCATGTGCCTAATGTTGATGTGAACAGACAACATACCAACAAGCACCAAATTGCGCCATGCAACTAGGGCTCCTATGATGTATGTAGCTGAGCTTCCAGAACAGATCAATAGCTGCACATGCAGTCAGTGGACCATATTAGTAGTTAAAACTATCATGTGGGTCAAGGCGTCACAGGACTCTTGAGCTCTAGTTTTCAAACCTGGTTTGACGTTGCGAGACCCCCACGGAGATTCTTTGGTGCTATTTCAGCTATGAATACAGGCACCTGCGGATCAAACACATGGTCAGAACACTGAAAACATGATAGTTTTCAGGTTTAAATCATGAATGCTGGAACTAATTTAGACAGAGAGCGAGCATAGAGTAAGCAATGTAGTAAATAAGAATTAGTATTTTAGGAGTTGTTTACCACATAAGAAAGAACTCCAGTACTGAAACCCAGTAAGATTCTCCCAAAGTAAAGCATGATAGCGCTCTGTACATTCAGGATAAACCATGGTTATGAAAACAGGCAGTGCACTGGAACGGATAGTTAATGACTAAGAACGTAAGAATGAGAATTATCAAAAATGAACAAACCTTGGCCAGATGTATAGAAAGCCAACCAAAGATGCAAATAGTAGCTGATATCCGCATGGCCTATCACAAATCAAGACACAGGATATAGTGAGACGATGATCTTTAGTAAAAATAAGAAAATTGGCCTCAATTGACAGTGTAGTAAATTTACCATTTTTCGTCCAAGAAAATCAGCCAAGCGCCCACTAGTAACAGCACCAACCATTGCTCCAATTGTCAATATAGATCCAAAAATGGCAAACTGCATAGTAAGATAATCTAAACTTTGGCCGTCAATAGATTTTAGTGACAAGTAGCATTTTGAAGAAAAGAAACTTTGAGTGCACTGAAAGGACAGTTTATTTTCCGAAGATGATATGGTGGTGTCACGAACCTCAGAGATTGATAGCCCGACTTCATCTACAATCCCCGACTGCGTGGGTGCAGAATAGCCGACCTGCAAACAAACATGGCCGAGGAAATGAACCATGTTAGACATAAAAAAAAACAAGCACATCATCAGCACGTTCCACTGAAACGCAGATGTAGTATTATATATATGTACCAAGGACATGATAGGAAAATGAAATCTTGTCCTCTAGCTATTAAAAAATAGCGCTAGAGGGTTCTTTTGCTAATAAGAAGACACGTCCAAATCTGATGCATATTGACAGTGATTGGGGTCTTGGGCGCAGCTTTGATATGTTTCTTTTTTTTTCTTCTTCTTTTTGAGACATACGCGTGCATTACTGAAATTTCGGCCGAATTTCACGAAATTCGGTAATTTCGGTGGTGGCCAAAAGAAAACTCCGAAATTTTTTAATACACTAATACATGTGCTATATAACTCTAATCTTATATTTTTTCTATTGTTTATATTGCATATTCTTCTATTTAATAGATATGTAGTTATAAATCATGCTAATATTTTTTTAGATCCAATTTTTTTTAGAAAAAACATATTCATGTGCTAATATCTAAAAAAAAAATTCGGCGAAATTTCGGCCGAATTTCGTGAAATTCGGTAATTTCAGTGGTGGCCGAAATTTTGGTGATACCGAAATTAAAAACCTTGGTGATAACTAAGAAAAGACCGTAATTAGCTGTATGTCATCAGTAATAATCACGTCCAGCATGTATATAGTTAATATTCCACAGCGTCCCATGGAACGCAAATGTGCATCAGAAACTCAGAACATGGAACGCAAATGAGGAAGGAACTCAGTTAAGGATCGGAGGTGGCGCGCGGCAGCGGGTTCTTACGCAGGTGCCGAACTCGAAGGAGCCGCAGACGGCGACGGCAGTGGAGAGAAGGACCATCCGCAGAGAGCCTGCGTCCGGGTCCGGCCGCCCCTCGCTGCCGCAGTCGGACGCCGCCGCCTCCGGGCTGCCCCGGATCTTAGACTCCTGGTCGTCCTCCTTGCAGTGGCGGAGAAGCGGCTCCGTCGTCATGGCGGCCCCGCCGCCGCCGCCGCCAGACCCGACCACCCCGGCCTCCACATCGTCCGCGGCCCGCACTATACCCATCGTTGTTCCTACCAACGTGAGATGAGGAGGCTGCCTGGCCAAGATGGAGATGGAGATGGATGGATCGGGAGTTGGGGACACTCCGGGACAGACGCAGTGGCCTCCGCTCCGGCCTGGGCTGCTGATGAGTGGCCTGCGAGACAGCGCGATGCGGTATTTATACAACACACCGGCGTCCGGCGCGGGGGCGGGGGCGGGGGCGGGGGCGGGGCACAGCAGGGAGGGTGTGGGACAGAGGAGAAAATATCTCCGGCCCTTTTCGTTTTCGGTCGTCAGATCAGAAAAGATCAAGAGCGGGCGTTTTGTCTCGTCTGATCACGCGATAAGTATAACAATTTGGGAGAATCAAGGTTTTATATATATATATACACACACACACACAGTAAGTAATTAATCTGCATGGTTGGTGACAGCTAGCCCGACGGCACCAGATGATTAAAGGCAGGTGTAATTTTGTGAACAACCCATGACGATAAAATCTCATATATCATCTGTATCGAATATAATCTGCCAGCTACCGGCTAACGCGTCCCCCCCCCCCCGAGCTACGAAAATACACGTTTTTTTCCCCAGATTCAAGCTTTACTTTCAATCTCACCACAGTCGGGTGCTGCATGGGGTCGGTCGCTGGAACGAACAAGAGACAGAGGTTGAAGAACAGTGCAACCTGATCTGGCGCCACTAGTTAGATACTTAGATTATCATCATCCAGTACTGTAGCTTTTATTCACCGCCTGAAAAAAAATACAGACGCCCGAAGAATAGCTACTTGATTGATATCCCTGTCACCGGAAGCATCTCTATTAGTGTCAGCCTCGATCAGTCAGAGGAGCTCCCATCAGTCAGTCAGCTGCATGGAGAGAATAAGTGCAAAATTCTCTCTCTGGAGCCGTGACCGTGGCGAGTGATACCGCCTTGTGACAGCGCCTCACACCGACAGATGACAACAGATACGGAACAAGATCATCACATGGCAAATTGGCCACCAATAAACACTGCAGCGACCAAGTCCTCCACAAGCTAAGCGAGAGCCTGCACGGCCTGGGTAGGCGACCGAGTATATTCCTGCTCAAAGAATGCATGTTACCTGCCACGGCAGACCGACGTGGGATCTATTCTAGTTTATATTTATATGTCCCCAATTATTAGGATCGACCGAATTCACCATCCAACTTTCCACAGTTCGACCACGAGCTGCTATTCCAGCTGCCGACATCCATCCCATTCTCACGCACGCGCATGGATGACAGAAGTAGAAAGGTCGCTGAACCAAAGGTGGAGGTGCGGAGGTTGGAGAAGGATGCAGAAATGGGTGCGTTACGCCGCGCGCTGCCATTGTCAAGATGAAGACGTTGGAGACGGAGAGATTCTGGCTCATTGCACACAGTGTGTGTGTGGCACTTTGCTATAACCGCATTGCTGTTCTGCATATGGTTGCAGTAGTCGGGCTATCAGTGCGTGTTGTCGTTCTCGTTCTGCAATATAATTGTGTTGCATCAGTGGCTGCTTGCAGTAGTGAACAATGTGTAGCAATAGTTGTTTCTACAAGTGACTTGCTTAGTGCAGCACCTTGCCACCTGGTGGTTGTGGTGAACTAAATTTCATCTGTGTTAACTATGTGCTACTGAACATCATGTTTAACTTTGTCGCACACTGAACCAAGTTGAATAACATGTATATGAACGATGTGGCATTGTACTACGTTTTAACCATTTTTCCAATGTGACATCCGGTGTTTTGTTTGTCATAATAATGAACAATAATGTATAAGCTGCGTACCACTTGGTTTGCGTCAGATTGGATTGGAACAGATCCTGACGTGAGATGTAGACGGGCTGGCCCCTCTGGCCACCCATAACAGTTGTCAGTTAATGGTAAATATGAAGCCAAATCTTCTTCATGATGAAATGTTTTGAGTATCAAAAACTGAGATCACCCTATTAAAGTGGAAACCAGTAGAAACTGACGAGGCAAGTGTCCCTTGCACGAGTTCTGAGTTCTGACAATATGAAATGTCTCTCAAAGTATCACTCATACATCATATATCATATACTGCACTAAAGTGAAACTCTGAGCCTTGAGCATTATTCTCGTTCTGAATGATAGTACAAGTTGACAACTATTTTGATTCTTCACGAAAATTCTACACTGACCTACAGGAGCCACAGCACTTTGACAAGCTCTACAACAAGTGCAAACTGCTAGAGCAAAGAGTTGATTACAAACCAGCAAATTTTCTGATCTCACTTTCAAACAAAAAAAGTTCTGATCTCCAGAATCTTCTGCCGAAGGCATTCGAGTGCTCCAAGACAGCACCAGAAAAACAACAACGTCTTTGCTGATCGCATGTCTTGGGAGGGTCAAGGAAACATTATATCATTCAAAACTCAAAAGGCAATTGATTGCTGCTAGTGTTTCTACTGGTTGCTAACCAAAATGTTATCCAGTTGGTGGGAGTAAGATACATTGCCTGTACATAGCTTATCAACAAGTATGGTACAAGCAAATCTGCCTAGTTCAAATCCAACCTTGAACATTATATTTAGGACCAGCAACGCATCGTCCAGTCGCCCAGAGGTGCTCAACGATTCCACCAAACAATCAAATGTCTGTTTTCGAGGTTTTATGTTGTCCTTCAACATACCTGCCAACCATGCCATGCCCTCATCAGATCGATTGATCTTACAAAAGCCATTAATGATGCTATCATTGCTCCACACCAGTGGCTCCAAGCCCTTAGCCCGCATCAAGTTGATCAGGTCTACTGCAGCATGCACCTGTCCGTTCTCACACATGGCGCCTATAAGAGGACTGAAAGTTGACACCGTTGGCTCCAAACCAGATGATAGCAACCACTCATACATCCGTATCGCCGAGTCCAACTTCCCAACCTTGCATAAGCCCCGGATCAATGTGTCATAAGTGATCACATCATGCTTAATTCCCTTAACTGACATTTCCTCAAACAACTCGAGTGCGTCGTACACCCTCCCATGGACACAGAATCCTTTGATGAGAATGTTACAGCTAACAGTAGTCTGCTTGAACCCCTTCGCAAGCATTTCATCATATAAGTTGCGGGCCTTCTCAAGATCACCAACTCTGCAATAGTAAGTGACAAGGGAGCAGTAGGCATACTCATTGGGCTTGATGCCCCTGTCCACCATCTCATCCCACATCTGCTGTGCATCTCCAATGAGCCCCATTTCGCATAATCCATGGATCACCGTGCAATATGTAATTCCGTCAATTTGATAGCCCCGCAGCTTGATCTCTCTGAACACACGCAGAGCCTCTCCACCCATCCTCCGCCTGAAGAGCCCGTGTATGACCCGCTGGTAGATCACCTTGTCCGGGGTGCACCCGGTAGAAATCATGAGGTGCAGCGTGTCGGAGACCTTGCCGAAGTTGCCGTCGGCTGCGAAGGCACCGATGAGGTCAGCAGCGGCCTTGGTCGACGGAGGGGACCCACGGCGCGCGGCGTCGCGGAGGAGGCCGAGGCCGTCGAGGGGGCGGCCCTCGGCGGCGTAGGCCTGGGCGAGGCAGCCGACGGTAGTGGCATTGCCGGGGAATTCTGGCGAGGAGGAGAAGGCGGAGAAGAGGCGGAAGACGAGGTCCGGGCGGGCGGCGCGGAGTGCGGAACGGGACGCGACATTGAAGGCGTGGAGGGAAAGGTGGATGCCGAGGTGGGAGGTGAGGAGCTCCGCAACGTCTGCGGCGAGGTGCGGTGGGAGGCGGAGGAGGAACTTGCCGACCCTGGGCAGCGGAGGGGAGACGTTCGCCGGGGCGGTGTCAGGGGCGGGGGCGGGGAAGTGTGGGGACAGAGAGCGTAGGAAGAGGAGCGATGGAGCCACGGCCGGAAGAAGGCGGGAGAGCGTGAGGCGAGCAAAGTCTGGGTGGAGGAGGACGGCGCGAGGGACCAAGGATAGGAGGCAGGATTGGAACCGCGGGCGCGGCGTGCGGAGGGCGGCGGCCGCGGCGAGGTCAGCCGCGTTGGAGATCGTGGATGGAGTCAGAGCGCCGGCGGGATCAGATGCGGTGGTGGAGCAGAGGCGCCTGACGAAAAGGAGCCGAGGCGGGGGCATGGCGGTTCCGGCGGCGGCGGCGGCGGCGACGGCGACACAAGAGGCCGGTCAGTCAGCCGCGGTGCGCGCACAGATTTGGTTGTGGCCTCGTGGGCCGTATGCAAAATGGCCCATGGGGCTTTCAGGTTGGTAGGCGCTCCCATCTTAGCCTTTTGCGAGGAGGAACGACTGCGTCACAAAACACCCGAGCCAAACCCCGGAGAAACCCTAGCAAGGCCGGTTGTCCCTCTCAGGCGCGGCGCGGTGCGGCATCCCCGACGAACGATGGCCGGATATCGCAGCCGGAGTCCGAGACGGAGCTACAGCCCGCGGCGGCGGTACAGCCGGAGCCCTCCTAGGCGCAAGCGCTACGACGGCCCCCGGGACCGCTACCGCTGGGCCGGGGCTGGCGGAGGTGGGGACCGACGTGGTTACGGTCGGCCGTCGGCGCAGTCAGGTCTCCTCATCCGCAACATCTCCCTCACAGCCAGGTGAATTATCGTTGTACCCCATATATGTGACGCAGTATGACCTACGGGTTGGCGGACGTGGCGCCATCTGGATTGGTCAATGTCTGAAGCCGGTTAATTCTGTGAAATTTTCTGGCTGCTGCATGCAAATACATCTTGTCGATTCGATTGTATGATCAATCCTAGTTTTAGGATTTTAATTAATTATTGACTCTGCTCATCGGCCACTAATGTGTTATTTGATGGTTGTTAAATGCTATGCAGTATGCACAAAACAAAAACAAATATAGTAGTTTGTTTTCAACATTTGATATTTGCAAGTGTAACTGTGTTTCAATTTTTCGCATGGTGATGAATTGTTTGGTGGTTTGCATGCCAGCAAATGTTTGATTGTAAAATGCGCTGCACCGGGCTGTTTAACAATTGATGTTCACTGGAAGATGTGTGCACGAATAACTGATGAAACTGTTTATCAGAATTTCCTAGGAAAAAGATAAGTCCATCTGTCGTCGCAAACTGCATTGGGTTTCGGAAGCCATTCACTAAATGGGCTGATGGTGTGCATCCTAAGTCTTCTCAAAGCAACTTTGTATATCAATGTCATATCCTTCATAGACTGGATCAATCATGTTTAAGCCATTGTCTAGTCTTTGACAAGCCTATAGTCAGTTTGGTTTTCTATTCAATGTCTTGGTAGGAGAGTTTGCCAATCACTTTAGATGAAAATATATGAATCGTTTGTCTAGGAAGTTGGTGGTCATGGTTATTTGTACTCAAGGAGCACTGGCTCTTTCACATCACATAATCCAATCCTCTCATGTCAGATAAAATTTTGGATGTTTGTGCATCTTACTTACAGCTTGATGAACTTTTTTTTTAACCTTGCAAATGGTTCCATCCTTTTGCAACTGCCAATAAAATGTTATAGTAAGATGTAAGTTGCTGCAAAGTAATCAGTATGATATACCTACGTTCTGTACTATTGTGAATTTGTGATGCAGTCTGTCTTTTGCGCCCTTGCATGGCTTTACAATGTCGTTAACTGATTTTGTTCTGTTATTGGATTTTCATCTGCTGCAGGCCAGAAGATATTCGTGTTCCATTCGAACAATTCGGCCCTATAAAGGACGTTTACCTACCTAGGAATTTCCACACCAGGTAACAATTGCTTTTAAAAGTTTCTTTGCCTTACTTATGTCAAACTTGAGTTCAACAGGCTATAATATACTCCCTCCAGTCAAAAGTAAGTGGCCTTTGGGTTATGTGCAAGTCAACAATTTCAACTTCGATTAGATATTACTTTATATGAATTGCTTTATATTTCTTGGGTTTGAATATTTAAAAATTATATGGGTAGATTTGTCTTGAAAAGTAGTTCCATAATAGTGTACTTGTTATAATTTACAAGCATTGAAATGTGTTTTGGGAATTATGTTGCTGTCCAAAACGACACTTATTTGTGACCGCTGACCGGAGGGAGTATGTGCATAGCAGGCAAGCAAAGTCTTTTCATCAACAATGAAAAAGTATTTAGATGAATTAACTTGCACACCAATAATTAGGAGACTGATACACTGTTGTTTGAGACTTTGAGTGGTCATCTCCGGTGTTCATTCCAAGACATTATGTTAGTTTGACCCATTTGGACGTATGTGATAATGTAATAGAAATGTCAAATGGCCTGAAATTCTCTCAATAAAAAATTCTAGTTCTTTTGGCAATAAAAAAAATCCTGTTTAATATCATGGCAAGTTTTTGTTGTATATGTTCCCTGTTTTTGATAAATAGTTCTTAAGTGTATTTACTGTTTCTCTATTAAATAGGGATTGGATTGAACAGCCAACTGTTGGAACAACAGAGCATATTTGTTGAATGACAATGATTTTTTCCTTCTTAATCCTTGGTTGAATTTATCAAATTTACAGGGAACTTCGTGGTTTTGGATTTGTCAAATTCCGGTACCCTGAGGATGCTGCAGTTGCCAAGCAAGAGATGAATCATCAAGTCATCGGTGGTCGAGAAATTTCAATAGTTTATGCTGAGGAGAATCGAAAAACACCACAAGAAATGTGCACGAGAATAAGAACGAGGTTCATTATTTGTTCCTTCCTTTGCTATGTGCTCTCTGCTGTCCTTAGCAACACCATAGTAAACTTATAACTTGAAGTAATGAAAAGAAATAAATCCATGCTTTCGTTGATGTAGTGGTAGGTACATGGAGGGAAGATACACAAGACGATCACTATCAAGATCTCCAAGGTCTCGTTCCCACTGTAAGTGTGAAGCGATTTATAAAAATTAAATAACAGTCTTTCGTTTCATTGTAAAATAGTAAACACTATCACTTTCTTGGCAACAGCTTATTCACCATCGCCTTCTCCAGTTAGGCGTGACTTCAGGTTTGAACTCAATTTCTTTCAAATCGACTAGTATCTTGAATTGTTGATTGTTCTTCAATCCTATAGATCCTTTGAATGCCTCTTCTATTTTGGCTTTTTAGGAGCAGTTGCATTTTTTCCCCAGTTTTTTTGGATATACATTTTATCATGATCTAACCATTAGGATGTGCCAAAGTGGTTACATTGTTCCAAGTATTCTGTTTTAATTTGTCAGGAACAATATATTTTCATAACATGGTAATTTCAGAACACATTGCTGTTATTTAAATGGGATAATTGTATGTTGGACATCCAAAGTGATGGTCCTTTGCTAACGGACACCCACTTTGGAGCATTTTGCCAGAAGACACTCTGGTTCGGTGAAATTAGGCCACAGGACACCGCGGACCGGTTGCAGCCGGTTGAGGAGAGAGAACAGCGGTGAAATGACATTCTTGCCCCTGCCACTTTCTTCTTCCTCTCTCCCTTTCTCTTTTTTTTTGTTTCCTGTCCCCGCCACCCTCTCCTCCTCCCGCACCCACCGTCGCGCATCACGCCGTCGCGGGCGGCTGCGCCTCCGACGCCCGCGCCTCTGGCGGCCCGCTTCGGCGCCGCGCCCCAGCCTTGCGCCTCTGGCGGCCTGCTCCGGCGCTGCGCCCCCGGTGCCCGGGACCGCGCCTCTGACATCCTTTTTGCCCTGACTCCTTCTTCTCTCTCCTTTCTCTTTTTTTCCTCAGCTCACCCGGCTGCGCCGTGGACACGAGGGTCGCCGCGGACTCCAAGAGCAGAGCACAACGCATAGCCCTTTTATGATTTAAATATAATAATCCCTCTATCCCTAAATAAATCAACCAGGGAGTTGTCTTAAATCAAATTTTGTAAGCTTGACCAGCTTAATAGGAAATAATATCAACATCTAAGACACCAAATAAGTAGACTATAAAAGTATATTACGTGGTATATCAAAAAAATGGTACTAATTTTGTGTCATAAATGTTGGTATTTTTTCTATAAAATTCGGTCAAATTTACAAAAAATTTGACTTAGGACAGCTCTAGAAGTTGATTTATTTGGGGACAGAGGTGTACTAGGTAACTAGCTGTCAAATGGATTTGTTTGTTCCATTCCTATCATCAATATAAATGAGGATCAAGCATCTATTCTCATCAAATAAATTGGCACTTCAGTTCCTCGTTAAGTTTTGTCGAGTCCTCCAAATATATGTCATTTTTTTATTACTAAAATCTTAATCTCCTTTCTTGTTGCGTGATTTTTTCAGTATTATATCCTTAGACATACTTACAAAGAAGTGACATTCAAGACTGAGAATGATTGTGTTGCTCGTCCAGATTGGCAATTCATATTGCTCCCTCCGTTCCAAATTATAAGACGTTTTGGCATTTTTAGATACATTGCTTTTACTATGTATCTAGACATATTGTATATCTAAGTGCATCTAGCAAAAACTATGTATCTAGAAATGCCAAAACGTCTTATAATTTGGAGTGGAGGGAGTAATAAATAGCTCTAATTAACAAGTCAATGACTAAAAGAGCTTTCTTATATCTATAATTGGATGTGCATGACAGCAATGTGGTTTTGTTAGATTATTTGGTAACTGTTGATATGTGTTCTTTAAATAAGGCTTTGAAATTTGCTCTGAATTGTGTTGCTTTGGTTATGTCTATTATCCAGTCAACAAAAAATATAGAGTATCTAAAAGATCAAAAGACAACCATGATGTTGAAGAATAAAGGCCAAAGTGAAAGTACCATGACCTCTAGGGTTGGAGCATGTGAAAGGCATTTCGGTTAAAGATAAAGGGGTCATGTCAGCCAGAGTTTAATGATAATCTTGGCTAAGAAACCTGAGGGAAAGAGTATTTTGAAGTTGAGCCAGCACCTTAATGCATTGCACAATTCCATGTTTGGATCAAAGTGGGTAGCTTTTATTGATATGGGGCAGGTAAAAATGATATCTTGCTTTATATTTCAAGTTGTCTTTGGGATAAGAGTGGTACTTTACTGCTAGGTGCTGTCAATAAGTGTTCAGTTATACAAAATGCAGTTTGTTAATGGTCTACTTTTTTCCTATATATACTTGCCAGCTATATTGTGTTGCTCCTTGTCTTTTGCATACTCAGGAATTTAAACTCTTTAACTTTTTGCAGGGGCAGGGGACGCCGGGATGATTATTCCCCTGAGTACTCACACTCTCCACGTCCTCGGGACAACAGGCGCTACAGGTCAGATAGTCGCTCTCCAAGCCTAGATGACCACAAACCTCAGGGGACAGCAGTCAATAATGGACATGGTCCAGCAGCTGTATCCAGGTCTATATCTCAGTCCTAAAGGATTCCTTTTTTATTTGTTGTGTACATTCTATGCAATGATTCCATATTTACGAGATGATGTTTCTCAACCCCAGATAATATGATGCCATTACGTATGCCTTGAATGGAGTTCGGAGGCTGGAGACACAGACTATCTTTTTCGTCAATCTTCTTTAAGAGATGAGTAGGTTTGTAGTAAACAGATGCTTGTAATTGTATTACAGGTGATGGTTTTGGTTTTGAAGCACGCTGTTGCTTTTGTGACGCTGCTTTAATGCTTTACCAACCGATGGTACCATTGTGGAAGTTTGCGTTTTTGTTTTTGGCTTGAATATTACCAATATATCATCTTTTCAGCAATCACATGTGACATGTTAACCCTTGTTAACGCGTAAAATTCCTATCGTTGAGTTCCAGATAATGTTATTGCGGTGTTATGAAGTCATCTTGAAGACATCTTTGGCTGGGAAGAATTTGAATGGACGTATTAACATTTTAAGTGTTACTAACAGTTAGAAAATTTAATTGGAAATGTGTGCTAGGTGAGATGCGTTGGCAGAACTGTTAAGTCAACGCTTGACCGTCATGTTTCCTGAACGACAGAGGTGCTATGCGAATTACTTCACCTTTAATATTACTATATGGTAGTAAACCTGTTCGAATGTTGTAATTGAACTTCCGCTTTGGGGCCACCCCTTACTCTACCATCATTATAGGGGTATGGGGTTCGAGACAAAGAAAGATCAAGGCAACATATCAGTTTTTCCTATATACTTTACTTGGATCTGTTTTTATGCTATTAGTTATTCTGTTGATTCTTCTTCAAACAGGAACCACCGATTTACAAATTTTATTAACCACAGAATTTAGTGAGCAGCGCCAAATCCTTCTATGGATTGCCTTTTTCGCCTCTTTTGCCGTCAAAATGCCTATGGTACCAGTTTATATTTGGTTACCCGAAGCCCATGTAGAGGCACCTACGGCTGGATCCGTCATCTTGGCAGGAATTCTTTTAAAATTGGGTGCAATATCATTGTCATCTCAATGACTCGTGGATCTGAAATTTATATAAGGTGTCAAATGTATTAATACGCCTAAGAATCAGACTTTGTATCATTTTTTATAACATTTTTTTTGGTAACAACTTCGTATCATTGACGGGCGCATGGATGCTAACGAGAGCATGAACGTGCATGATTTTAACTATGACAAACAGAAGAACCCTTCACTCTTAATATTGGCTGTGTTCGGCTGGCCAGATTTGGCTGGCTGGCTGCCCTTTTTTTCCCAACCGGAGCAGTGTTTTTCTCTAAAAAAACCCAGCATAAACAGTAAAAACCAGCATGAATAGTGTTTTTAGTCTAGCCGAACACTCCCATTATTAGATTATTGTTGGTATATAGATATAGATTAACAAATATGTCCATAATTGCAACAAAAATGTATTGGTTGTTGCTCGGTCACCTGGATGAGTATATGTATATACAACAATTGCTTCATCTGTTCTAATACATCTTGGAATCAGACTTTATAACGTGGTTAGATGCGTGTTGTGCAAACTCGTATAAGCATGGGCCATGAGTCCGGATTATAGACGGAATATAGAGCCATTTTACGAGATGTCTACTCCATTTGTTCCAAAATAAGTGCATTTCTATGTTTGGTTGGAGACACCAATACTACCAGAGAAATTACATATATACACCCCAATCAAAAAGGTGTTAAAGCATGTAATAATTGTATCTAAAAGTGATTTGTTTTGGACAAAAGTTTTGAAGGCTAGATGTGTAAGTAGAATCACATGATGCTTGGTGAAACGATGTAATCATAAGTTTATTCTATGTATTAGCTTATGAGAAATAAGATGGTAATGGATCAACATATTTCATTCCACAAAACCAAAGGAAAAAGTGTGGAGTGAGAAGAAAATAGACTACCTCGTTCCTCGGGTCCCAAAATAAATGATTTCTTTTAGAAATCCCAACCCTAGTCCCTCATAAAAAAATGATTAACGCTAGTAGTGACAAACGCCCAAGAAAGGGCCCAGTTCGACAATTGCAGACTCCTCTCCAACACCTACTCGTACTCCCCCATCGGCGCCGCTATGCCCAACGTTTGAGCCGCTCTCCGCCGTCGCCGCCGCACACGACCCCATCCTCCACTCCTCTAGGCTCCAGTCCTCCTTCGTCGGCACGCCTTCTCCTTCCTGGTTCCCATCCCTAACCCTAGCACTAGCAATCAGTCGAGCATTGTCGTCGTCAAGGGGCTGTCCAGCGGGCCGGCAGCGAAGAGGTTAGCGTGGCGAGCCACGTGCCAGGGGGACCCACCCGCAACGGTGGGGATTTTTAACTTTTTGCCATCCTTACGGATGGCACTCCTCCGTTTACCAGCTTTACGTGTGCTCCTACACAATTGCCATCACAAACATTGAATCTCCTATGTTTTTGCCACTTTCGCTGATGTCTCACGCCAGGTGGGCATGCCAGTGGCAGCGAGCCTGGGAACCTCTACCGGGCATGCGAAAATTACCTGTTTACCCCTGCTGTTTTCTCTCTCTCGACACTCGCTGACGCGTGAGCCCTCCTCCTCCTCTCGGACCGAGGGGCCCCGCATGTCAGCTTCTCCTTCAACCCCATCTCTTTCCCTCACCGCGCCTCACCTCCATGGCCGTCGTCGTTGTCGAAGCAGAGGACACCGGAGGGGCCTCGTTCGTCGCTCCTCTTCCTCCTCTTCGACCCGCCACGCTCCATCATCAGCGCCACCGCTTGCGCCTCTCCTCCCGCTTGCCTCCTTCACCGCTCTTCCGCCGCCGCCGGTGCGCCTCTCCTGACCACCGCGAATGCATCGCTGCGCCTCCATCACGCTACGCAGAGCACCCACGGGCTCGGCGGGTGGTGGTGGTGCTTGAGAGCCGCTGCCGCCCCCCACCTTCGCCGGGATCGGTGAGTCAGTTCACCCAACTTGGCCTCCACCGACCGTCGCGCATCCTTGCACTCACGCTAGGGCGCCTCGTCCGGGAGGAGGAGCAAGCTCGCTCTGGCGCTGGCTGGCCGCGTTCATGCTCTCGCAGGAGAGCATCACCGGGTGGTGGCACTGGTGCGTAGCGCTTGACCATGGAGGATATGCTGCTCCCATCCTCGTTGTTGCCCCACACCGACGGAGAAGCCGAGGCCCGGGCCCGGGCTCGGCGACAGCGAGACGATGCGGGGGGATAGCGGGCCGGCGGAGGAGGTATTAGCCTCGGTGATGGCGGACACGCCATGCTTCCCCACTGCCGCTGGGCGGTGGCGAAGGCAGCTAACGCGTGTGGAGCTACGCTCACCCAACATAGATGGCCATCGGGCGATCGATCCGCCGGACGCGTGTCGTCCTTGCCCCACTCACGCCAGCGCGAGCGGCGCAGCTTCTCCCAAGTCCGGGGGCGGAGGGCGGCCGCGCCCATTGGCGTGCTCGGTTAGCTTGGCGAGCTCGAGCCGACGACGGCGTATGGAGATTGGAGAAGCTCTCCGCAGTAAACGAGAGAGAGAGAGAGAGGTGACCTCGCGGTCACGACGAGTCCCTAGGGGTGGTCGCGCTGGCCAGGAGGCTGCCGCCCACCGAGCTCACTCCTGTGTCCGGCCCCTTAGGGGGGCGGCGCGCCATGGAGGAGCTCGGGGACTTTGCTCCCATCCTCGCTGTTGCCCCACACCGACGGAGAAGCCGGCAGGCCGGGGGAGGCCGGGGGGTCGGTCGGTCAGGCGTCGGTGGCCATCGCGCCGGCCGGTGCTGGGGGGGGGTGGGGGGACGAACGGGGGTGTGTTAGGGTTGGGGAGGGTCTAGGCTTTGGGCAGGGAGGCCCACGGCGGCCACACGGCATGCTTCCCTTGGGCGCCGCTGGCGGAGCGCGGGAGGGCAAAGGTGGGCTGGGCTGGAGCCGAGCCGCGCTCGTCCGGGGAGAAGGGAGGCGGAAGCTCTAGCGCCATGTACCACCATCACCGGGGGCACTAACTTCCATCACCGGCACTAACTTCTACGCAGAAGAGATGGGGTTGAAGGAGAAGCTAACGTGTGGGGCCCACGTGTCAGCGAGAGGAGGGAGAGAGAAGCAGCAGGGGTAAACAAGTAATTTTGCATGCCTGGTAGAGATTCCTAGGCTCACTGTGCCACATCAGCAAAAATAGCAAAAACTTACAAAGTTTACTCTTTGATGGCACTGTGCAGAGCATGCGTAGGCACGTTAAAAAGTTGTAAATCCCGCAGCGGTGGCGTCAAACGCGTCTCGCCTACTCATCAGAGGTGGCTAAACAGAGGAGTTTGCTTGTTTTCTCCGTCCGGCTGCGGTTTCCTTTGACTGGATCAACTAGATTTGCCGGCGGCGACGGCAACCGCGGTCCCCAGGCAAGGGCGTGGGGATCCCCGGCGGGATGGAGGTGCCCTGGCTGCTGGTGGTGCACGGGTCAGTGACGGCGCTGGTGGTGGTGTCGTTCCTCTGCGGGCAATGGCCCATCTTCGAGGGCACCTTCATCCAGAGCATCAACCACTTCCTCACCTTTGGAGCCTACCACTACCTCCTGTACGTTCTCGCGCCTCCCTTCCCCATGTCCCTCCCTTCACGCCTGCTCCTGCTCCTGCTTAGTGAGTGTGGGAATTGTTCCCGCAGGCGGTTTGTGCAGTCTGTGTGCGGTACTGGGGCTAGGGATCTCGTCCTCGGCGTTGAGCGATACTGCTGCGACCGACCCAACCCGATATTGCAGGTACATGCCAGTCATCAGTACTTGAATTGCCAATGATGAGGTAACGTGTCTTGAATTATCATTGTTGGGGATGATTGTTTATTTTGAAAGGCGATGTAGTTGTAATGGAAAGTTAGGTTTCCTGTTTTGAGTCTTGGAAGATTGATGCCGTTTGATGCTAAATGGCTGTTAGTTGTTGCTTGGGATAGTTGCATTGATCAATAGCTAGGGGATTGATGGTGGGTTCTCAGTTGGTAGCTCCAATGCTCAGTTGACTCTGCAAATGAGGAGCTTTTTCAAGGACCGGAATGTGGATGATCAAGTATGTTAGGGCTTAGATTTCTTATTTTGTTGCCCTTGCCCGTGATTATAGTTATCCTACATTGCGTAAACCTGCTGCGTTTGTTTCCAAACAGTAAACATGCAACCAAAAGCTGCTGATTAAAGGAGGGATTTATGTTCTTCAGATTCTACGAAATTGCTAAAGACTTTGTGCTTGTGCTAAGTGAAATTGTGTACGTGAAAGGAAGGAGGGAAGAAAACTGGGGAGGGGACGAGAGATGGATTTGGAAGGTGATAAAAGTGATAAATGACTGCAGGAAAGACCAACTGGGTATATATGGATCTGTGTCACTCTGGTGTGACTTGACATCATAATTATATCAATTTTTGGGGATCTGTGTTTGAACTCTCTGCATTGAATAGGGCAGAACAGCAGTTTGCCATTGTGAATTAATGATAACGATACACACATGTAATTTACATAAACTTCAGATTGTTTTACTGTTATACCCTTGGCTTCAGTGAAGAAGTTTTCCTTAGTGATTATTCTTCTAATTCCCTTGGGACACATGAGCTAGCATTATCTTGCATGTCAAATCATAATCAAATTTACTTAACTATCAACAACTAAGAGCTGAGGTTTTTTGTTGTTATTTGAATGCATGAGATGCTAGCATCAGCTCCTGCTCCTAACCAGTCGTCTGTGACTTATTTTCTTCTCTCAACCGCAGGTATTTTATGTTGCCATAATTGGGGTGACATATTTTATAATAGTGCAGACATCTTTCGAGTACATTCCTGGGTATTATGTGAGTGGATTGCACAGGTACCTTGTAGCTGCACTAAACAATTTGGATAGATTTTATTGTCCATTTCTAACAGTGATAGATCTAATTGTGCAGATATCTGAGTGTTGTGGCTGTGGCTGTTGGTGCTATACTCTTTGTGCTTACTAGCTTTTCTGATCCTGGGACTGTTACTGCTGAGAATGTTTCTCAATATGTATCTTCCTACCCATATGACAACGTTATTTTTGTGGAGAAAGAATGTTCAACTTGCAAGATTACTAGGTATATCTAGTTATTCACTGAGTAACTCCTAGCTGCCAGTCGTTGCATGTAGAAGTAGAACCCTAAATTATAAGATGGTATAGTTAGCTGTTTTCTTAGGTACCCAGTAAAATCTTAGGGACTAGTTGGCAATGAGTAATCCAGTATGTGTGCAACAACAAAACTTATTGCTTAGGGCAAATACATCTAGCATAGGGGTTCCCCTCCCTCCGCTACTTAATGCAGCTACATGTGTTTCTTATTTTAGCAACTCATTGGTCATTTGTGTGCAGACCAGCCAGGGCAAAGCACTGTAGAATATGTGACAAGTGTGTTGCTCGATTCGATCACCATTGTGGATGGATGGTACTTGTACTTACTAATTGATGGTATTGCTTTTGCTTCATTTATGTTCTGAATTTGTCTGTGTTGATACAGAATAATTGCATTGGGGAGAAAAATACTCGCTATTTTGTGGCCTTTTTAGTTTGGTAAGTTCTGCTTGGGTTTCTTTCCAGCTTGTACCTTACAATCTTTGTCTGGCCTAGATGGGAAATCTTAAGGCCCATGCACTTCTCACTGATGATTTTTTTCTGTTTTGTATGTTTATCATCTGTCTTTCTTTTTTATAGCCTAATATCTCCCAAGAGTCAACATAATCTCCTGAATTGTCATTTTTCTGAGTGGCTAAATTTTTAGTCCAACTACAAATACTAATTATAGGACATAAATCAACTGGATAAACCAAGTACATCTTGAAATGATATGTTTATCCTACCGAGCTTTAAGATTAGCTTTCTTACAAGAAGTTGGACCGTTAGCTCCCTTTTCCTCTCTCTTTTTTTCTTATATGAAAAGCTTTGCCTTCTAGACTTCACAGCATAGTTTTCCAATGTGTTGTGCAAAGTGCAGTTGTTTAGATGCAGTATTAACTAGCTTATGATTCCTTTGCTCTGTAGTTTTATGGATTTGGTTGTAACTTATAGTTCATCTTACCTTTATATTACCAAATCAATATGGGAGATCTGCTCAGCTACTTGGTTGTTCTATTTCTTTTTTCCATAGTGGGTGAGCCCGAATTTCATTACTAAAGCATAATGAAATTACTAACAACCACCAGTTTAGAATTTTGCCGCTGCTACTGTCTAGCAAAAAGACTGCTCTGAAACGACCACAAAAGCACACAGGCTCTGTGAAACTATTCCACCACCGCACTTCCTTACACTGATCCTAGTTGATTTTTTGTTTTTCTCAAATAATCCTACTTGATTATTCAACCTTGGCAAACACTAGAGCCTTTTTGTTTAAGGCATAATTGTTTCACTTGCTGTAAGTAGCAACCTAATTAATCATCAAGATTATTCATTGACCTGAAATATTAAGTAAAGTTTTTTTGGGCAAAAATATTAATCAAATTTGTATATGTACTTTCTCTTCCATTCGATAACAGGCATTTTCTTATATGTCTGTACGGGGCAATACTCCTTGGCTTCATTCTTGCTGGTGAATTAAAAGAGCGGAAAATTATATACATTATGACAGGTAAATTCAATGCCTTTCCTGAGAATTTACTGCCTTGTTCAATGGGAGTTACTTAAATTGACATAGAACAACTGAGTAGTGGGTATATCTATGTTGAGCTGTATGTGGGAGTTTTGAACTCTCCTGATAGCACCTTATGGGAAATCGTTTACCATCATACATAGTCTCTGATTTTTATTTCGATTGCATACAGTTTTTGGATTAATCACATAAAACTATGAGGTATAACTTATCTTCTTTATTGAACATTTTAACCTCTATTTTCCCATTTGTAATGAGGCATCTTTTGGGTGTGACAGTTTATTATGGTATCGATAACTCATTCTCGGGCTTGTTTCCACATGTTGCACAGGTATGCTAGAGGAACACAATGATTACAAATTCCCTTCACAGCTCTACTAAATCTGTGTTTTAACTCATGGTCAAATTTGCAGTGGTTGCTTGCTGTGCATAACACTCAGATACTTTTGAGTGTATTTTTGGCTATATTAGCACTGCTCCTTGGTGGCTTCTGTGCTTACCATACACACCTTTGTTTGACAAATACAACAACCAACGAGGTGAGACTTAGTGAACTTGAACCTTTGAAATTTAGCCAAATTTTCTTCCCCAAACACGTAAACTGTCCCTTGTCGTGGACATGAGGATATATTTTCTTTATATTAATTCTATTTAATGAAAAATTTATCTTTGCTCTGAAATATTTGAATCAAAAGATAACTTCTCATACTAGGATTTTATTCTGGTAGACCAAAAATAGCTTTCTGGATGAATTTGGTTAATTGATGTGAGCAGATTTTGTATTTAATTGAGGTCGTTTCTCATGAGAAAACAAAGTGCTACGCTAAGTAGACTAATAAATTGGACTATTAAAAAGGAATAGTTTCAAGCATGTTTCTAGTTCAAAAAATACTTGCTGTGATTCTTACACAATCTTCTTTAGACATTCAAATGGCAAGACTATATCATGTGGATGAAAAAAGAAAACGAAGCGAAGGCGGCGGCTGCTGCACTCAAGTCCAGCATAGGCTCAGCCAATAGTAATGAACACAAAGCTCCTCCAAGCAAATGGAGGGCGTTCTTCATGAGATCCCGATCACCAAGTGTGGAACCAGTTGTGAAAAACAACATATATGACAGAGGCATGATTACAAACTTGTGCGAGGTGGTCGTCCCTTTATCGGAACGGAAGGCATTTTCACGCAGGAAATTGGATTGAGTCTGTTGTTGCAGTTGTACCACCAAACTGTTGTATATCTGTGTAGAATTTGTGAAACAATTTTTTTTGTCATACCATAGGGGCATAGAGAAAATTTTCAGGGTAATCTTGTTCAGTTCTTACGACTTATAGCATCAAAATATAGGTAAAATTGTTGAGGTTGCATTTGCTTTTGCCCTTCCTGAAACAATACATCTGTGGATGTTCCGAGGCTTTGTATACTTGCCCAGTTTTGGGTGCATGGTTGCTACAGTTGAGACGAACGTAATATCTCAAGGTTCCAGGCTTCCCCAATCTTACAATCGAGGAATATGTTGAACAACTGAATCGGAAAAAAAAAGTTTGATTGCAAATTTGTTCGCTGGTTTTGAGGAGCGTCACAGGAGATCAATGCAGCATTGGAGCACACGCTGAAATAAATCTTCAATTCAATTACAAATTCAAAAATATTAACATGAAGCAGTTCGATTGCAAGAACTATCACACGGTGATCTGATCTGTTTTTTCTTTACTTGAAACTAGCATTCTGATCTGTTGATTGTGGTTTTCTTGGAAGAGTTTCGGAGATGGAGCTCAATTGCGAGCCAGCACCCCCAAAACCAGTAAATAAGAGTACTCAATAAATAAACCTATACATATACAGAATAAAAAATGCAGAAATAAAACTCTCATCACTTTCCTCATTTCTCATCCCTTCTATTACATCCTCCCGTCTACAGAAGATTGCTTTATAAATCGCAGCCCTTTTATGCATTGTGAGGGAAACAAAGGAAAAAAAAAAAAAAAAAAAAAAAAGTGAAAAATTAGTGCTACGACCTGACTCATTTGGCCCTGATCATCACTTCATAGTCTGCATCATCAAGGAATCGGCCATACTGTGTCCCATTCAGCATCTGGCTCAATTGCTCCCAGTTGTCGACGAGGTCTGGGAGGGACCTGGTGTGGATCTTCACGTGCTTGCTGGACAGCTTCCTCACCGGAACCCCGAGAAATTCCTGCACCCGGGACAACGCCTGCACACAGGGCATCAGAGAAAGAGCATACCCCTGTTATTGCTATCATTGGGTAACCTTGTTTGGAACTCTAAAGCCATCAGAGGCTGCTGGGAACGTTTGTTTGTTTGTTTGTGTTGTGATGCCTACATTTCTGTCGCGGATCACGTCCTCGTAGTAGAGGACCATGTGGCGGGTGTTGCTGAAGCGACCCAGGCAGGTTCTCATGGCGCGTTGGGCATTTCTGATGCTTGGAATCAGAGTCGATACGTCCAGCTCTGGCTTGAACCTTGCCAGGATCTCAGCCTGCCCAGATAAAAGGCACCGATATGATTTGCCAAGAGGATATATATCATTGCCTGTTTGACTTTGATCCATTCAAAACTGAGTAACTGTCAGACAGCTTTGGTTTAGTCATGTCTAATTATGCAGTAGCTAGGCCTCTCCATAACTGAATAACTGATTCATAATCTAAATAATTGATTCAGAAAATGTACTGACTGATTGCACACGGAGAGAGATACCTCCTCTTTTGAGTGAACATGTGATTTGTGGATGCCATTCAGCTGCTTTGTTTTCCTGTCGTAGTTGTTCGCCAACACAGAGATAAGCCTCCGTAATGTGTTTCTCCTGAAGAGGAATATCACCATTGCACCCCTCCTGTTTAAATAGTTAACGATGTCCCGATGGTTTTCCATCAGTCCCTGCAGAACAGGAAGCAAGCCATTTTAGGCCCTGTTTGGAACGTGGGAACTTTTTCCATGTCCCTGCGTTTTTCTTGTAAAACTTAAGTGATTCCTGTGAAATTCCTATTCTTGAGTTCCAAAGTACTTTGCTTGATAAACTCACATCTAGCTTTCAAAAGTCAATAGCATGACTACTAGCTTTTTTTTGGTTGATAACATGATTACTAGCCCTTTTAAGTTACCAAAAAAATCACTCTTTTTTTTAGGTTTGGAGCACAAGAACATAAATATATTGTCAAAGGCTACATGATAGTAAACATTTACACAGACCCTAGCTATACCACTTGTGGAGCAAGAGCAACCAAACAATATGTACATGAAAAGCGGCTCACTGATAGTAAACATTGACACAGACCCTAGTAAAGGAATGATGCAGCTTAATTACCTGGTTTAGCATCCACTTCAGCCCAAATGCTGCTGTGCACTCATTCTTCGCCGCACTAGTGATCCAGTCCATATCATACAATCTGTCAAGAGTTTCAAAAATAGACGAAATGTTTTCCCTTCTATCCCTCACAGAGAAGATCTCGCCATTCGAGCTGACATTGGGGTGGCTGTTGAGCAAAGTCTCGAACCACCCGCTTCCTGATCTTTGCATAGATATGATAACAAAGAAGCGGACAGCGTTACATGCACATTCACCCCTGTGAACCGGGAAATGAGTGCAGAGAAGCATGAATCAGACAACACATGTCATCATATATATAGAACAAGAACACAAGAAGCTTCTGACGAACTGAAGTTACCTGTCGTAAGTGACAGGCCTCGGAAAGTGCACATATCGCATCTGCTCACGTGGAACTGCAGGTCTTCTGCAATGGATTTCTGTCTGTTCAGCTCTGTCTGCGCTGGTCATTTTTTGTTCAGATTCCAAAGTTATCTGATGGAAGGAGAAGTAGCATACATAGAAGCTGAACATAGCAATGAAGAAGACAAGAACAGATCGTAGAGGCAACACAGCTGGGCCCTTTGGACTTTTTAATGGATAAATACTCTGTAAACAAATATGAAGAAAAAGGTAATAATGAGTACGTATTTTTTACGATAAATAAGTGAGATGAAGAAACAAAATTTTCTAGTACATCGTTACCATTCTCTCTTGTGGTAGCATTTGCTGCATCAACTGAGTGCTCATTATCCTTGCTGCGTAGCATATGAGCGAGGAACTGATTTTTTTTCGCGAGCGGGATTGCACAACTCACCTCAGCTTTTGTGAACTAGTTGTACTGCATTGCATCTACAGAATTTCAAAGTTAAGATTTAAACCCTGTGCAAGAAGGAAACACAAACACACACACACACACACACACACAAAAAGTTGTGATTCAAGGAAATGCAAGGACGCTTTATTAGACCTGGAAAGTGTGGGCCAGGCCCGACAGAACGGAACCAATATTTAGCAGCTCAACTCGAGAAAGATTCGTAACAGTTTGTGGACTACGCGATGCAGAGTACTCGTACAGCAATCGTGGGCATAGATGTAGCGATGACCGTACAGGATTAATGGCACAGACCACAGAGACTCCCGGGCCCCTTGTTGTGCGGCAACAGAAGTCGTTGCAGCAGGGTCAGCAAGCAGAAAGTGCGAAAACCACGTCGAAGCTGTCAACGAAGGGCACAAGAAAAGGCCCGCAGCGAAATGGCTGGCTTCTTTCGCTGATTGCCAGGCCCCCACCGGCCACCCCCACCTAGATCGTCTGCGGCTAGCAAAGCATTGTTGCAAGAACCAACCAACGGTTGCTTGTTGCAAAGTTTTTTCCAACTACACAAGCAAATATTTAAGGCTGGGACAGGCTGATAGTGATAGCAACATCAATGAACAAAGCTAGTTTTGCTCTCTCTCTCTCTCTCTCACACACACACACACACAGCAACAAAGAAATAAAAAAAGTAAAAGGAAATAGATACCATACCAACCAGTATCACAAAGTCAGAATCAAGGATTGCTCAGTGAAGCCGAAATTTTGGGTTGGGGAAAAGTTTGAAATCTGTCCCGTAGATGCCTGCATTGCAGGATGCAGCTGGATCAAAGAACCAGGCTGAAGAATAATGAAGTCGGGCACTCGATCGGGCCAATTCTGTGCAGCCTATTTAGAGATCGAGATGCAAGGGGGGAACAAAAAACAGGCAAGAGCAAGAGCCATGAAGATGATAGTCCCAAAGAGAGAGAGCACAGGAAAGGTGCATACACAGGCAATCCGCAGACCGCATATCAGGAAGGAGATGATGGAGGCACAGCACAGACGAACATTCTGAATGAATCTTGGAACACAGCGCAGGCGGCCAAGGCCAAGGCCATGAGCACAGCAAGCAACACCACGTACGTACCTGGTACCCGGTTCGTCCGCGGCGATCGAGGACTGAAGCACTACGGTGGTCGACGCGAACAGGTCGATCGGATAGCGGAGAAGCATGCAGCCTCTGGATCTCTGCGTCCGCGCCGTCGGCTGAAGGAAGGTGCCAAGAGGAGAAGAGGGAGGGAGGTGAAAGAGTAGTAGCAGGTACGTTCTGTGACGTCGTCGCGGGAAGGAGAGAGGAACAGGGAAGAAAGCGCGCGCGGAGCCGGAGGCCGGAGGGGGTGAAAGCGAGAGGCCGAGCGAAAGGAGGCCGAGCGACCGGCACTGTTCGCTTCTCTGTCTTTTTTTTTTTTTTTTTCATCCAAAATAGTATTTTTCTCTCACAACAAATAAATCAGAACAGTATTTTGTCTTTTTTTTTTAAGAAGTGAACGGGGCCGGTAACGGATTCCAGCTCGATCGATCGGGTATATACAACTACACTGGCTTAATTAGCTTGGTTATTACGTACATGCATACATATGATACATCTGGTACTTCTCCTCGTGTTAGCTCGGACGATCAGTACTACTATGTTTCTTTTCCAAATAGATACTGAAATAGAAATAGTAGGATATCTAAATAAGCATGCATTGATGCATATGATGCCTGCTGTGCTCCATCTCCAGGGCGTGAGGCACCGAACTGCGCCATCCACCATATTATTCCATCATCACAGACAAAGTATGAATTGGAGGCTCCGATCCACAAGATTAGGATGTACCCCCCCCACACCCACTCTCTCTCTTGGGTTCTGTTGTCGGAAAAGATTTCGAATATGTATCAAACCTTTTGGTTGTAGCGCTACTCAAATATTAAATGGGTCTTGTATTTTAGTGTTGTTGTTGGAGATAGTCTTAGAGTTACCACCGTGAGTATCCTCTTTATTATCTCCATGCTTATGAGTTTGAGTGATCTTAATAATGTAAGAACCAAATTGCTGTAACTGGTTTGCTTCCGTCTTATAGCCTGTTCGCTGGTCGGTGTTGGTGCTGGTTTTTTTGAGAGAAAAACACTGTTGGCTGACTGATTTAATTTTTTATTTGAAACCAACAAGCGGCTGTTATATGATATAGCATTACTCCTGCTAAATCTTCAAAAAAAAAAAGAATTCGAGAGGATCGAGCATGTGGGTCCCATCCGTTCGGCAGGCATTTATTCCAGATGGGCACTGGTACCGTGGTACGGTGGGAGTACTTCTACTCGGGTAAAGAAACACAGTTAAGCTTTCAGACGTATATATAAAGTCTTTGCTTTGGTTTTCCTCGCTCAGCCACTCATCGGCCTGTCCAAATAATCTCTAGCATTTCCTTATTAAAACCAGCACTACTGGTCTACTACTGCTACTGCTAAGGACGGAACGAGATGGCCAAACACAACGTATTACTGTACTGCCAAGTCACAGATATCCTTAATTATTTTGACAAAACTTCCCGCTATATATCAGCGTGTACCTGCCTGCGCTGGAGCCTAATTTCATTCTGCTTTTTTTGACTATGGAACCTCGATCACTACTATTTTTCACCTCCTTTTTTTTTCTGCGCGACATCTGCATACATGACCCAGTATTATATAAACAGAATAAGATAAAACAATGTCAGCGTGATGATTTGACTTTATGTTATCTCATGGAACAGGTGAGGGCCGACACATACGGTATTATCTTTTAATATTACGTAGAGTACAGGGTTGTGCACTGCGATGTGATACATACGGTATTATCTTTTAATATTAAGATAAAATATATACCCAGTATTATATATTATCTGCTGCTTGATGCGTAGCCGGCCGGCCTCCTTGTGTACGGAACGGAACGTTGCCACGTTGGTGCCCACTACGTACACTACCTTGGTTGGCATACACAAAGGTCAAAACCCTCAGATCAAGGAACGTTTGTGGTTTATTTCGGTTCATGCTACCAGTTATCCTCAGCCGTGGATAAGATTGGAACGGAGGGCAACGTCCATCAGTACCACACCCTCAGTTTTGCAAAATTTTCCATAACAAACCACACCATGTGTGCATTTTTTTGAGGAATCAGGAGGAGCAAGAGGCTCCTACTGTAATTTATTAAAAGACCAGAACAGAGTGATAGAGAAATAGGAGCGTACCGGTGCAGAGAGCTTCCGCTCTGTGCGGGGTCTGAGGAAGGATGTCAGTGACAAGCCTTACCATCGCCTGTGCAATACGAGGAGACCGCGACTCGAACCCGGGACCTTCCGGTGAAACAAGAAAACAAACTCCCTCTCTTTCTCGCTTACTCATTGCCTCTCACGCACCCAAAACTCACCCAACTGAAAATCAGGGAACAGAGAAGGAAAGGAAAAAAAAACACAAAAGATTACAAGTTGGAGTTTATCCATGATTCAAACAGGGGGGGTTGATTCTGGCCTTCGTTCTGTGTAACAGGAGAAGGGATTCCACCATGACCACTCTTTTGCAGTCTTCAACAGAGGGGTTTTTATTTCGAAATATAACATCATTTCTCATCGACCATATGAACCAGCAGATCAGAATGAAGATGTCAAGCTCAAAGCTAACATTCTGAAGGGATTTCCATTCTTGAAAGATCTGGGGTACTGTGAGTTGATCATCATACTGAAAATTCCAGACACCCCAACAATCCTTATCAAAAGGGCAGTAGAAGAGAAGGTGCATTATTGTTTCTTCAGGAGGTTGCTGACAGTGCACACAATGGTAATCATCCAAATGCATCCTTCTTCTTCTCAGCATGTTTCTTGTACTCAGCCTATCTTTCAGGACTAGCCAAAAAAATTCTTTGTGCTTGCTCTGGCATGCAGTCTTCCATAGCCATTTGTAGATGGGGTCAACTTGTGTATGTCCTGTTAGTACTTTATAGGCTTTAGAGGAGGAGAACTGAGAGGAACCCCAAATAAATGTCCATCTGTCATCCTCTGTCTCAATCACTAAGTCTAAGATTTCAGCCTGAATCTCCTGCATCTGATGATATGCTTCAACTGATAATGGAAGGTGAAATAGATCATGGAGGGCCTCAGTTTCACATACAGTGCTTAGACTGATCCTTTTGTTTTTCACAAAAGAATGGAGCTCAGGGTATTGAATCTTTCTTACTTGGTTGTTCCAGACATCATCCTAGAAGAGGCAGGTTTTGCCATTAGCAACTAGCACACTTGTCATTCCTTTAAATTTTCCCAGCAGCTTCAAAATGTCATGCCACCAGAAGGATCCCCTAGGGGTTGTGGAGCTTGGCAACTTATCATTTCTATAGTGCTTATCCCAAATAAGCTTTACCCATGGCAGATCTCTTTTATTAAAAAATTTATCCAGGTGCTTGAGGAGGAGGGCTTCATTTTGGGTTTGAATGTTCAGAACACCTAGACCACCTTCACATTTTGGTATGCATACCATGGGCCATGCAGCCTTTGCCATTTCCTTGCATTCTCTTCTGCTTCTCTCCATAGATAGTTTTTCCTGTACTTGTTAATCTGTTTTATCATAGTTTTTGGCAAGGCAATAGAGCACATTGTGTAAGTTGTGAGAGCTGTTAAGACCGAGTTTGTGATTTCAAGCTTGCTAGCCTGACTGAGAAAGGGTGATACATAATTCAGCCTTTTTTCACATTTGCTAATCAGTGGAAGAAAACATCCACTTTTGGTCTGCTAAGACCCATGGACAGACCAAGGTATGTGAAAGGAAAGGAGCCAGTTGCACATCCAAATGTTCTAGCAAGATGATTTAATTTTTCATTGCTCAAATTTATGGGCACCATCATTGACTTGGAGAAATTGATCTTTGGGCTTGTTGAGTCACTGAAGGATTGCAAGATACCTTTCAGAAAGAAGAGTTGAGTGGCAGAAGCTTCCATGACAATCAGGGTATCATCTGCATATTGGATGATAGGGAAATCCAAGGTTGGGGCTGGAATTGGTAGTCTTAAGTGCCCAAGCTGAGTTGCCTTGTTGATGATGGATTGGAGCAAATCAACTGCTAAGACAAAAAGTAGTGGTGATAGAGGGTCTCCTTGTCTTACACCTCTCTTGCAGTGAAAAGTTTTGCCTGTGACTCCATTTAATAACACAGCAGATGTACCAGAGTTGAGAATGGATTCAATCCATGATCTCCATTTTGTACCAAAACCCTTATGAGCCATTACTTCCAAGATCACCTTGCATTCTATTTTGTCGAAGGCTTTTTCAAAATCCAGCTTTAGAACCACAATTTCCTTTTTTGAGTGGTGGCACAAATGAAGGTATTCAAAGGACCATACAATGCAGTCCTAGATAGTCCTTGTCCTGATGAAGCCATACTGATTTTGGTGTACTAGCTGAAGAATCACACCTTGCAATCTATTAGCCAGAAGCTTCGTGATGAGCTTAATAGAGCAGTTGAGCAAAGAGATTGACCTAAAATCACCCACTTGCTGTGCACCAGCAATTTTAGGAACTAGAGTTATAAAAGAGTCATTTATGCTTTGGAGGCAAACTGAGTTGTTTTGAAAGGCAAAGCACAGTTCATAGAAATCTTCTTTAATGAAGTGCCAATACTTCTTGATGAATTCATTGTTGAATCCATCCAGGCCAGGAGTTTTATCATTGAGGAGAGTTTTCACCACTGTATCTATTTCTGCTCTAGTAAAGGGCTCCTCTAGGCAGCCAAGCTATGTACTGTTTTCTAGGAGTGAGCTAAGATTAAAGGTAATTGCCTCAAATTCAGACTGACCTAGCCTTTCCGTAAAAGCTTCCCAGAGAACATCTGCTTTGTCAATATGATTGTGAACCACTTCACCATTTGACTTTTGCAATTTAGCTATCAGGTTGTTTCCGTGTTTGATTGTTGCAGTTACATGGAAAAGCTTGGTTCCAGCATCCCCTTCCTTAACCCATCTGGTTTTATTTCTTTGTCTTCAATAGATTTTCTGCTGCTCTAAAAGTTGTTCTAGTTTCTTAGTAATGGCATGTTTGAAGTTCCATTCTAGCACTGTCAAATCTCTGAACTCTTCAATGGTTTCCAGTAAGGAAAGAGTGATCTTGACCTGATTCAAAATCTTCTTCAGATTAGACAGCTTTTTGCTGCCAACATCTGAGCACTTTCCTTAAGTTTTTGAATTTTGGAGTAATCAGCTTTGCTTTGTCCACCTGATTGTTTACTTCACACCAACCTTGCTGGGCAGTTTGGAG